TTTTTTTAAAACTGTTTTTTTTTTTTGGGTCTTTTTTTTTTTTTTGCGCCCGCTCGCACCGACTTTGGGGTCCCCAGAGGATGTCATCCATAAAAATAAAAAAGTGTGGCCTTATAGATCCCTAAAGCCATGTTAAAAGCATTCCACTAACCTTTAAACAAACAATGTTAACTAATATTATACTCAACAATACAAAGTGAAGTTTAATACCAGTACTTATCCATTTACAACCAGACTAGCCCAGATAGTTGTGATTCAATTAAGGAGTATTAAATTTAGTTAAGTAAATTTAATTCTTACCTTCAAGCTGGCCAATCTCTCTTGATTGAGGGCCCCTATTGGTTTGCTTAAATCACGGAATGTGGATGGACTTTCTAGGTCTACAATTTAAACCAAGGATATGATTCATAATTAGCCTCATTTATTTTAAAGGTATAACTTAATATATGGTGCTGTATAAAACCATTAATAAACTCAATCCAATAATCTGTAAATAAAAGTGTTTTTATCATAACTACTGGTTTTTAGTAAAAAAAGACCCTAAAATGACCCAGTGACCTTGAAACCTAGCTAATGGCCTTCAAATGACCCTGTAGCCTTGACCTACCCTTACCTAACACAGGACTTGTGTAGTCAGCTATGACCCAGGGGAACACAGGGTACTGTGTCAGGTCATTTATACTGCGATCTGCCATTGTGTTCAGATATAAAAGATAATCAAAGTTGGATATGACCCCATTCTGCCATTTCAAGGTCATACTGGCTGTCCCCATATCCTCTAGGTGGACATCTAACAAGAAAAATGCAAATAAATAAATAAATAAATAAATAAATAAATAACATTCCCCTTAATTTTCATTTCCATGTCATTTTCTGAAGACTGCATTTAGAGCAGAACTTTCTAAATATCATAATTTTGTTGTTTTCATAATTATTCTTAACAGTTACGACTTAACTTGTCAGTGTGACAAGTGCATCAACAGCTGTTGGAAGCCCATTAATTTGCTGTGATAGAATTTAAAGTTTATAGATATATATATATATTTAAGGTTTAAAAATTCTTAGAACCATAATTTCCAAAATGGACACACCTAATCAGTTTCTTACCAGTTTGCTTCACCAGTTCATTGTACAGTATGTTTCTTTCTTCTTCTGTCTTCATGGCTAAGTATAGGCAAGCATCATCATACCCATGATAAATCTCCAAACCCTAGAAATATAAAATCATCCAATGGTTCAGTTAACAGCTTGAAAAAACATGAAAAGATTTGTTAACTACATTTATTTAACAAACATTTTCTAAATGGTATGCTTTTATGAACATGTATGCCCAAAAGTATTTCGGACAAAAAGCAAATGTCAAAGCTTTATAATATAGTGCACAACATACCTCAGCAGTAACAGTACATATATTTATTAGCCTCAACACGAGGCTTTACACATTAATTAAAGAATTTATACCATAGGCTCCTTTCCACTTTTTCACACCTACCACTTGTTGAAGCAAAAAACGCCTTTTAATGACCCTCTTGATAGCAGACAGCTTTATTTTTGTCACTGGATTCTGAAAAAAAAAAGGTATTTAATAAAAAAAAATCAAACTTCATAATCTTGCAATGTTTACATTTAATTTTATTAATACTATAAAAGCAACAGTCAAATTGCGAATTTTCTATTAGATGATGCATTTTGTGCCAAATTAAGGTTGCAGAAACCATGATAAGAGCAGAAATTGTGTCAAAGACAATGATTTTCTTTTATATAAGGAGACCTGGATTCAGCCAAAATTGTAATGTTATCATATCTGTCCGTCCTGAATGGTCTGTTTTGTAAATTTAATCAAAACTTCTGAGGACTATAAACAGATGCACAGAAAATTAGACAAAACAATGAGGATAAAAACATAATTTATCTCCTTTACTGGTAACGATAAAAATAAATATTTGTGTTATGTATGAGGAAAACTCACAGGGTCCACATTGTTAAATGGCTGGAAATAGAGCCTACTGCAGGTCAGCATAATTCTGCCAGGGTTGGTGACCAGGGGTGTGATGTGGTCACCCTGGCTCTCTAAGATTATTTTTTCATAGATATCTTCCAGCCTGTAAAGAATCCCTTGAATATTGTAATAGCAGTCAGTTCCACAACCTTTTGATATATCCATAATTTATATAATCTATGGCACCAACTGACCAATGTATTTTGAAGTGTGTTCAATATATTTTTTTCAAATATAATATATTTCTAATTAGAAATGATAATGTCAGGTACATATTCATACACTTAATGGTTTTTGAGTATAAGTTTCACTGGAACCCTTTGAAAACTGCAGAATAATCGGAATAAATTTTCTGTCAACATAATTTTCTGTCAACAAACTGACTCAACCACTCCTCCAACAAATCATAAATTTATACACAGTCCCTAACAGATAACGCAATTCATAAAACAATTTACAGAAATCCTATTTTATACTTTAGTATTTATGAAAATATCAAATAAAGATTTTTAACATACCAACTTGTATTGAATTTGACTCTTGATTGTCTGGATAAAACAATAGCCCTGATCTGTAATTGATAAAACATTGATTAATAGTATATCAAAAATACATTAATATATCAAAACTGATAAATAATTTAAAAAAGATTATTTTCATTTCATTCAGTCTCCAATTTTAAATTAGCCTTATATCAGAAGTCTCTTTTAATAAAAAAAAATCTTAAAACTAAGAAACTATTTCATATAAAGGATAGCCTTGACTACGGCATTGGAATGAGAACACAATACCTTTTGAGTCAAATCAGAAGAAATGTTTGTAAATCTGCAAATGTCATCACTGAACTGGCATCTCTGTACTCACCATATTACTTTGGTCTGCCAGGGACAATGTGGAGGCCCGGTGCAACTGACACATCAGAGGGACACAACTATCAACTGTATTATAGTTCAAGGAGAACATGTGCTTCACTGATTTTTCCTAAAAAAACAAAGAACTGGAATATATGCATTATGATGACTATTTAATATCAATGTCAGACTCTGTGATTTCAATTTCTGAAGTTTCAGAAGTGATGTATATAATCCCAGTTGAATGCCATCATGAACAATAAAAAAAAATGTAAATTTGCATCCTTTATGATATCATCCTTTGTGAATGATATTACAAAGTACAATTGTTCAAAGTACCTAATATACAAATATGACAAATATGCTCAAACTGAGAACAGCATTAGGACAAAACTATTTTTCTTCGTACATTGATACAACCCCATGGGAACTCTTGCTGAATGTAATTAGTTAAACACACCTCTTCAAATAGTCACCAGCTTTTCTGTATTGTACTCAGTGCTAGGAGGTATGTTCATCTGATTGCATTCAGCGGAAGTCCCAGTGGAGTTGGATCGATCTACGTAGAGCGATAATTTCACTAGGAATGGGTCCTTTAAATACACTCTGCTTTTCTTCACCCTTTAAATGCTCTTATCAAAGATTTCCATTCAATCTGCTTTTCTTTCTGAGATAAAGCAGCTGTGTAAATAGTACAAAATCAATACTTTATCTGGAATTCCAAACTTACCCTTTTAAAATCAAATGGTTCTATAACATTTCCTTCCTTCATTCCAATAACAGCATTGCTGACTATCTGTAGTACTTTGTTCTTAGAATCCAATCTGAAAAGAAAGAGAACATTATTATGAACTCAATTTTTTTCTAAATTTACCAAGTTGCTACATTTTTACTGGGGGCGGAAGGTGGGGGAAAGAACAATTAACATTTAAATAAAGCTTTATGTAAAAGGAGTAAAAATAGTTTTTCATGAAAAGTTGAAATTTTAAAAACTGTATATTCTTACACATTAAAAAACAAACTCTCAAATGATATACACCAATTTCTGTAAAAAAATTCTTATTATGCCTAATAATTACTTGCAATTGAGGGTTGGGCAATTATGCCTGTCTTATTGGGTATTAAACCAAAACCACATCTGGAAAAACTCACTTAAACAAAGAATTAAGTGATATAAGCAGTTGTATACAATCCGTTAATACAGTTCTGCTGTGACCCTCTTAAGCAAACAGCGTAATCGGGGAGCGTGAACCATTTTAGATTCAACCTCTTTACCTTGAGAACAGAGACTGGGGATCATAACTTTCCACTTTCACAACATCTCTGAGTGGAAACTGAAAGATAAAAGAATTGTCATGAATTACCATTTACTTCTCTGTCTTCATTCATAATAAGCTTTGGCCTTCAATGAGATCAACAATGGGACTTGTGGTTTTGTATGGACTTCTTTTAACCTTTTACATCATCAATTTGAAAACAAATCTTTGCATTGCATTAAAAGGGAAAAAAATACCCAAATCACAATATCTCAATAACAATCAAACTTTTTTTCTTTCTTATTCCTTACATAATCTTTGAGACTAATGATGGAGCAATTCATTTGAAATTCATTTCAGATTCTGTCCAAATCTTTCAAATTCTATGCACCACCTCACCTGGTAAATTGTGACCTCAAAAATAATCTCCCCAAATCCAAAGTTGTTAAATAACCATACTTATACATAAACTTTATAACTTCTCACCAAAGACTGGTCTCCAAAGAAATTCTACTGCTAACTTAGGCCCCCTTGCCATAGGGCCCATTCCCATAGATTTTAGAATGATCTATCCCCTTGGGGAGTCTCACTAGATTACTGTCAGATAATCCGGCTTAAATGTCCGTCCCGCCTACTACAAGCTGTAAGGGGGTAATTATCTTTCATGCCTGGTCAGGTGACAGATAATTAGTGTGAACCCCCAGATAGTTAGGTCGATCTAGTTGGATCGATCTAATATCTGGGAATGGGGTCATAGACACATAGGCCATGGCAAAGTGGATCCACACAATGCTGCAGGGATTCTCCCCGAGTACAGTCAGCTTAATGATTACGTAACACACCTCCTCTTAGTGTTAAAGGGATAATAACCGTTTGTTTTGGCCAAAAAATGAATTTTCCCAGAGTAAACGACAATTTTCCCATACTTACCAATGGATAACGAATCCATTTCTACATTCAAAGTTAGTACCTGGTTTTTTTCTAAAAAGTTTGGTTTTATGTTATATTATAATCTCTTAAGAGATTATAACAGAGTATAACCATCTATGGAGGTTACATGGTCTGTGACAAGCTCAGATATCAGAATAATAGCTATAACTGCTGTTTTCTTGTGGTAAAACAGAATATATTATATTTATATGAGTTGTTTACAATGTTTTTATTGTGAAATATAGATCTCATACGAAGAGTTATTATCCCTGTAAGTAGAGTACAGAAAAAGTTGGTGATTTTATGAGTATGTTGGAAACAAGGAGGCGTGTCATTAAGTTAAGCTGATTGCACTTAGTGAGAGTACCCACAGAGTTGGGCTGAGCTATGTAGACTGACGTTGTATTTATGGGTATGGGGTCTTACATACCCTAAGTATAGGATACTGTATGTCAGATGGATCAAATAAAACTGACTTGGAGCATATCTTTAGCCTCCCCTTCTGCTTCCTGTAAAAAAAAGTATGAAAGTTGTAAACTCAAAGTATACTGTGAAGTGAAAAGATTTTTAGCAAAGAGAGAAAAAAACTCAGAAATGGTATTCTTAAGAGAAACCAAATTCAAATTTATTGGTAATTTATTGGTTAATATGACCATACTACGTCCATATTCCAATATCTTAATTACCTTTTAATTGCCTCGTCTTCATATTCCAATATCTTAATTACCTTTTAATTGCCTTGTCTTCAGATGGTGATGGTGGATAGTAAAACACACTGAAATCTTCAAAATAGATTTCTCCAGGATCCAGCAGCAACAAGGAGAATCTACAAAAAAAGAGGCATTATGTTATATGTTATTGGCAAGGATTTTTTTCGATAAAATTTCTTTCAAACAAATGCCTTTGAAATGAATACCGGTAGTTCTATCTATTATGTACAGTTATATTGTAGCATGATAAACAGGGGCGGATTGAGGCTGTCTTCTGGTCTCAGAAGACGGTCAGATTTTCAAATTTACATTGAAGGGCATCTAATTTTTTCGATCGGAAGATGGTTAGAAATGGAGGATTGATCAACAAAGATAATTTGGAAGACCGTCAGAAAATATCTCTGGATCCACCCCTGATAAATACATGGAAAATATAAGAAAAAAACTGCTCACCTTTCCTTTGGCTGTGTCACAGCTTCAATAAAAGCCATAGCTGAAGAAGAGTTCTACATGTACAAGTACAAGGCTCAAATCCCCCGCATCCTAGAACACCATCATTCCAAAATTTACACATGATAATTAAAACCTTGATGAAAGAATACAAGGCAGTAAATTAATATTACAGTTTGTAAAACATGTGACAGTGTCTGGGGTAGTGCTAACACTCGCCAATTTAGCCAAATGCTAAAAATGACAAAATTGGCTAAACAAAAGGGGCTTGATTTGACTTGTTTTAGTGAAATTATAACCATTTGCATAACAAATTGTCAAAAAAGTGATTTGGCTAAGCATAAAAATCACTAGCCCTACCCCAGAGTGTGAATGGAAAATGATCATGTTATTGTTATCAAAATGCTGACATGAAGAGGAATGTGAAAGATCTTCAATCAAGTTAAAACATTTTTTTAAAAATAAAAGCCACTTTGAACAGAGAAGACCCTGCAGCTGAACATATTAATGGCTTCAAAATAACATAATAATGGCTTCAAAATAAGTGTGGACAACAAGTCCAATGTAAATTGAGCGGATTGCATTATTGCCTCAGTTTTCAACTTCAAATACTTGGTATTTCTTATCTGTGTAAGATCGAAAATTGGTCGAGGTGAAGAGCAAAATCGAGAAAGGGTCCGAGTACTTGAATCACAACATTGTTCTCTTTCAGTTTATTGTCAACTGCGTCAATATTTTTTAAAATATTTATATTTATTAAAAATAATCTCCCAATGTGTGCTTTTACGGCTTATTCATATGGATTGATTTTCTTTGAAGAAATGCACATTTTACCTGGTAGTCAAACGCCTGGCCATGAGTCACGGTAGCGAATTTATAACCGGAAGTAGCGCTTCTGTATTTAGAGGCTTGAAACGTTATACCTTGATAAAATATTGCACCCGGAGTCGGGGAATAAACATGAATGAATTAGTTTACACCGGAGAGGAACTGTAAAAGATAAAGCTATGTGACCAGATTCTTATGAAAATGTGTTCACATCATGCAGAAATTCACACAGATGACAAGTATTTCAAGAGGATTTTGAATGAAAAGGTAAACTTCTATTGTGACCAGCTCAAGTTCCATCAAAACCTTTAAGGGACAGAATTGTAAACATGGAAGAATACAAATGCCAGAACTGTAACAAGACATTTGCTAATAAGCAGTTGAGAATTGTTCATGAAAAAATTCACATTGGACAGAAAACACACAAATGCCAGTACTGTGATAAGACATTAAGTTCAAAATATCATCTCAATGTTCATGAAAGAATTCATACTGGAGAGAAACCATACCTGTGCCAGTATTGTGATAAGACATTTATTCAAAAAAATAATCTCATTGTTCATGAACGAATTCATACTGAAGAGAAACCATACAAATGCCAGTACTGTGATAAGGCATTTAGTAGAAAATGGAATTACCTTGTTCATAAAGGAAATCACACTAAAGAGAAACCATACAAATGCCAGTACTGTAATATGACATTTAATTATAAACAAATTTGCAGCGACCATGAAAAAGCTCACACTGGAGGGAAACGACACAAATGCCAGTACTGTGATAAGTCATTTATAACAAAACGGAAATGCGTTGTTCATGAAAGAATTCACACCGGAGAGAAACCATACAAATGCCAGTACTGTGATAAGACATTTAGTAGAAAGTGGAATTGCATTGCTCATGAAAGATTTCACACTAGAGAGAAACCATACAAATGCCAGTACTGTGATATGGCATTTATTAAAAAACAGAAATGCATTGTTCATGAAAGATTTCACACCAGAGAAAAAACATACAAATGCCAGCACTGTGATAAGGCATTTAGTAAAGAACATCACTGCACTGAACATGAAAAAATTCACACTGGTGAGAAACCATACAAATGCCTGTTGTGTGATAAGGCATTTGCTTCAAAATATTTTTGCCTTATTCATGAAAGAAATCACACTGGAAAGAAACCATACAAATGCCAGTACTGTGATAAGACATTTACACTACAATGGCATTGTAGTCGTCATGAAGGAATTCACACTAGAGAGAAACCGTACAGGTGTGTGTTTTGTTGTAAGACATTTGTCAGCAGAAATGAATGTGATATACATGAAAAAGATCACACTGATGTGTCACCTGTCCTGACAGCACATAGACCATATGATACAGAAGTTAATAATGGTAAAAATCTAGTCTCTCAGAATAATAATGGGGCATCACAGGAGTTAGTCAAAATTGAAATCCAGGAATACGATCCTGCAATTAGAGAGCAACCATACCCTGTGGCTCTGTTTAAAAATGCATTTGCTTAGCGCTTTGTATGAAACTCTGTATACTTGTATCATGATGCAGTAGTTAGAAGGTAAAATGATTGCAAGTTGCTTTTTGGCGTATAATACCCAAACAATTGATAATAAGTAGAGTTGATAAATAATATTAATAAAATTGCTTTTCAAAGCATATACTGAAAAGATAATTTAGCTTATCCTTGTCATTCTTTATGTTCTGAAAGGAGGAATTCCACAGTTCTGAGCACCAATTTTCTTAAGTGGCAAAGTGTGTTTTTACCAGCTAGGTAAAATAGATACACAGGCCAGGAAGTATAATTGTGAGTGTTCTTCACTGAATAGATTTAATTTATTACATTGCACTGCGCATCACATTACCCATCTGGGTCAAACAGGATGGGTTATTTAACAAAATTGTATCACACTGACAATTCACAGAAAATTTGACCAGGTCAAAGGTGGTCTTGATATAAAGACAAGGGTGGCAGCTTGTTTATTTTTTGATCTGCTTTACCCGTCTCTGAGCCACTCTCCTATGGCTTTTATGCAGAGATAAAACCCACCTTATGCCTTGGTCATTATCAGTTTATTCAGCTACTTAAGATAGAAAGGTATTCTTAAGAGAAACCAAATACAAATTTATTGGTAATTTGTTGGTAAATATGGCCATACTACGTCCATATTCCAATATCTTAATTACCTTTTAATTGCCTCGTCTTCATATTCCAATATCTTAATTACCTTTTAATTGCCTTGTCTTCAGATGGTGATGGTGGATAGTAAAACACACTGAAATCTTCAAAATAGATTTCTCCAGGATCCAGCAGCAACAAGGAGAATCTACAAAAAAAGAGGCATTATGTTATATGTTATTGGCAAGGATTTTTTTCGATAAAATTTCTTTCAAACAAATGCCTTTGAAATGAATACCAGTAGTTCTATCTATTATGTCCAGTTATATTGTAGCATGATAAACAGGGGAAGATTGAGGTCGTCTTCTGGTTCTCCTGGAAGACGGTCATATTTTCAAATTTACATTGACGGGTATCTAGTTTTTTCGATTGGAAGATGGTCAGAAATGGAAGATCTTCAATCAAGTTAAAATATTTTTCAAAAAATAACTTTAAAAAGCCACTTTGAACAGAGAAGACCCTGCAGATGAACATTATAATGGCTTCAAAATAACATAATAATGGCTTCAAAATAAGTGTGGACAACAAGTCCAATGTTAACTGAGCAGATTGCATTATTGCCTCAGTTTTCAACTTCAAGTACTTGGTATTTCTTATCTGTGTAAGATCGAAAATTGATCGAGGTAAAGAGCAAAATCAAGAAAGGGTCCGTGTACTTGAATCATAACATTGTTCTCTTTCAGTTTATTGTCAACTGCGCCAATATTTTTTAAAATATTTATATTTATTAAAAATAATCTCTCAATGTGTGTTTTTACGGCTTATTCATATGGATTGATCTTCTTTGAAGAAATGAACATTTTACTTGGTAGTCAAACGCCTGGCCATGAGTCGCGGTAGTGTAGTGCCAGATGCAGGGCAGAACCGACCGGATAGCTCAGGTGGTAGAGCACTGGCCCTGTTAGCGAGAGGTCCGGGTTCGATCCCTGGTCTGGCAGGTGATTTGNTATTGTATTGTATTCTGCACTCACCCCCATATCGCTACATTAGCAAATAACCGGAAGTAGCGCTTCTGTATTTAGAGGCTTGGAACGTTACACCTTGATAGAGAATTATGAAAATGCGTTTACACATCATGCAGGAATTTACAGAGATGACAAGTACTTCAAGAGGATTTTGAATGGAAAGGTAAACTTGTATTGTGACCAGCTCAAGTTCCATCAAAATCTTTAAGGGACAGAATTGTAAACATGGAAGAATACAAATGCCAGAACTGTAACAAGACATTTGCTAATAAGCAGTTAAGAATTGTTCATGAAAAAAGTCACACTGGACAGAAAACACACAAATGCCAGTACTGTGATAAGACATTAAGTACAAAATATCAGCTCACTGTTCACGAAAGGATTCATACTGGAGAGAAGCCATACCTGTGCCAGTATTGTGATAAGACATTTATTCAAAAAAGGACTTGCATTGTTCATGAAAGAATTCACACCGGAGAGAAACGGTACAAATGCCAGTACTGTGATATGACATTTACTTATAAACAAAATTGCAACGACCATGAAAAAACTCACACTGGAAAGAAACTACACAAATGCCAGTACTGTGATAAAATTTTTATTGAAAAACAGAAATGTTTTGTTCATGAAAGAAATCACACTAGAGAGAAACCAAACAAATGCCAGTACTGTGATAAGACATTTATGCGTAAACAGAACTGTGTTGATCATGAAAAAATGCACACAGGAGAGAAACCATACAAATGCCAGTACTGTGATAAGACATTTATTACAAAACACAAATGCGTTGTTCACGAAAGAATTCACACTGGAGAGAAACCTTACAAATGCCAGTACTGTGATAAGGCATTTAATAAAAAATGGAATTGCATTGTTCATGAAGTAAATCACACAAGAGAGAAACCATACAAATGCCAGTACTGTAATATGGCATTTATTGAAAAACAGAAATGCATTGTTCATGAAAGATTTCACACCACTGTGACCAGAGAAAAAACATACAAATGCCAGTACTGTGATAAGGCATTTAGTAAAGAACGTCATTGCATTGAACATGAAAAAATTCACACTGGTGAGAAACCATACAAATGCCTGTTGTGTGATAAGGCATTTGCTTCAAAATATTTTTGCCTTATTCATGAAAGAAATCACACTGAAACGAAACCATACAAATGCCAGTACTGTGATAAGACATTTACACTACAGTGGCATTGTAGTCGTCATGAAGGAATTCACACTGGAGAGAAACCGTACAGGTGTGTGTTTTGTTGTAAGACATTTGTCAGCAGAAATGAATGTGATATACATGAAAAAGATCACACTGATGTGTCACCTGTCCTGACAGCACATAGACCATGTGATACAGAAGTTAATAATGGTAAAAATCTAGTCTCTCAGAATAATAATGGGGCATCACAGGAGTTAGTCAAAATTGAAATCCAGGAATACGATCCTGCAATTAGAGAGCAACCATACCCTGTGGCCCTGTTTAAAAATGCATTTGCTTAGCTCTTTGTATGAAACTCTGTATACTTGTATCATGATGCAGTAGTTAGAAGGTAAAATGATTGCAAGTTGCATTTTGGCATATAATACCCAAGAAATTGATAAATAAGTAGAGTTGATAAATAATAAAATTGCTTTTTAAAGCACACACTAAACTGGTGGTTAAAAGATAATTCAGCTTATCCTTGTCATTCTTTATGTTCTGAAAGAAGGAATTCCACAGTTCTAAGTACCGATTTTCTTAAGTGGCAAAGTGTGTTTTTACCAGCTAGGTAAAATAGATACACTGGCCAGGAAGTATAATTGTGAGTGTTCTTCACTGAATAGATTTAATATATTACATTGCACTGCACATCACATTACCCATCTGGGTCAAACAGGACAGGTTATTTAACAAAATTGTATCACACTGACAGTTCACAGAAAATTTGAGCAGGTCAAAGGTGGTCTTGATATATAAAGACAAGGGTGGCAGCTTGTTCATTTGTTGATCTGCTTTATCTGTCTCTGAGGCACTCCTATGGCTTTTATACAGAGATAAATATATCTTAACTTCAAACTTGTTTACAAACATACTGTAAGCACAGCCTTATGAAAATCAGATCAATTCATTCTGGGTCTAGTTGAGTTCATACTGGGTACAGAAATATGGAATGTTCGTTTAAAATGTTCAAAATGGGCTTGATCAGACCAATTTTCCAAAATTCCTGCCATTTTTCCCCAGCATGTTACAAGAGTGAAATGCTAAATATCTCACAGACCGATATGCTTGGGAAAAGTTTCTGGGAAAGTCGAATGTACAAACAAGCAGAAACCTACTAGTATGCAGATGAAGAACAAAGAAGTAGGACCAATTATTATTCCAAATTTTATTTCATTTATATTAGTTACTGCTAAGATCATACATATGTGGGTCTGGTGAATTTAATTCTTTCCAAACAGTGCGAGCAAGGCCGATCTCCTTTATACAACTCATTATGAATTAATTCAAGGGAGGAGGCAAGGAGGATTAATGCCAATCAAATTGAGGCATTCATAAAAGTACACCAAGGACATGGTAAGGATAAGCTCATTTCTAACTTGCTGTAAAATAGACCACAATGTTTGTTTTTATAAATTTAAAGTAAGACCCAGCTCTTATACCTATAGATCGATCTAGCAGGATCAACCCATCTCAGAGGGATTTCTCACTGAATTGCTTTTGGCTTAAGGCCGGTGATAGGGTTAAATACGCTTAAAATCATGTTTTTGAGTTTTTTGTGTGTTTATATTAATCAAAAAAAGTATCTAACGTTGGATGTAATAATTTTTATGAATTTGCATCGCAAAATGTGTCTTTTGATGAGTTTTTCAACCGGCACGCGCCCCAGTCAGGGTGACAACTAAGCCACGCCTCTGTTACTAAGGGCCGTTGCCATGAGGGGGTCGGAGCACAGTCAATGAGTTATAAGCCGATTACGTGTGTGGTAATAGGTCATAAGTCTTACATCAGCTTAGCAGCGAAGAAGTCTAGCTAGTTCACTATGGGGAAGAGAAAAGTTCGTGTTAAAAGTCCATTTCCAGAGGAAAAAAAGAAAATTTTGAAAGAGAGTAGGGCCTATGCGTGGCGGTTGGGGAAAACCGGCTCTATTTGTTCAGTCGGATAACTGATTTCTTCTACTCAAAATACCTAATAAATGGATGAAAAAGTTAATCGAATCGCCTAAATTAATTGACAAATGAAAGAAAAATCGATAAATAAATTAAAAAAAACGCTGAAAAGGATACTTTTAGCCTAGCTCTTAATTTTTGCGATATATATCGGTGAGCGTATCTGCGACACGTTACGAAACCGGAAATGATTGTTGGTCGCCGTTTGCAAAAGGTAAATCTAATGTTGACAAAATAAAATTTTATTCTCCAAGATATGATATCATGGAGCTTGAGAGACACGCGAAAAATTGTGATTTGAATGGCCAAACAAGAGAAATCCAAGCAAAGGTTGACAGCATGATTAAAACAATAAAAATAAAAACGCATGTTAGCGGCTTTGCATTTTGCGATATTTGGAGAAAAACAATTTCAAAATCACTGATCAAGCGGGAAGAAAGAGTTCAAGTGTCCAAAAATGAAAATCACAAAAAGACCCCGAGAATAGTCAAGGCTAGCAGGTAAAAAGCAAATAGGGTCTAAGTGTCATGTGTGTAAAAATAAAATATTTATTCAAAAGCCTTCTCTCAGCCACTTTTACCGCTGAATCTTGTGCAGCTGAGCGTCTCCCCTTTATCTTAGCTGGCATTTTGAGCGAGACCGCTCTGAAGTAATCACTGGATTTTTCCGTTGATCTGACGACTACCAAGTGCCGTGCAAAATAATCCTGCAGCGTTACCCGTCAAAAAACTCGTATCAACACAAGTGACGGACACTTGCTCTCGACACAGTTTTATCTGATCACTTTGCCGATAACAAAGAAGGAATCTCTCAGGTAAAATTACTCGATTGCCGAGGAAGAGCCATTGAAACGTTCAAATGCAACTTCACACCTCTTAATTGCGGTTAAACGTAATCGCCTTTGTTAGCGCTTCCTTCTACATATCCTTGACACCCTACTGGGCATCACAAGGCTAGGGCCCTCTCCAGAGCTGTCAATCAAAATGGCGGCACGCTTACATGCCTAACGAGTGGTCGGAAAATGTAACAAAAGCAAGATTTTCTGCCCCTTCAAAGCACCCAAACAAAATATTTTTAGATGACAATAAGCAATGGTTCCATCTGATCGTATAACCGATAACAGGTAAATTTGCCAGCTAAGCATTTGACTAATAAGCCCTGTTAACCAACCTGTGAACGTTTTTGGCTGTTTTAACAGCTTTATATATTGACGAGATAAGTGAATCGCTGTCAAGTATATCTCACTATCTGAGCAACCGATCGTTACAAAAGTTGCACCTATTGTTGTTAGGATTGTGGACTACAGCATGATATCAGGGGTTTAAGAGGAAATTGTTTGTTTGAAAGCTTGGACCTAAATATGAAAGGACATGAAACGCGGCATCTTCCTTTGAAGCTATGTGCGTTCGGGTAAACATTCGCCCATTGTCTGAGATAAGCTGTGTTGATAGCTCCACAGGAGCCTGAACGACTTATTATCAAGGTAGCGCGCGCTGTGCCTCATTGAAATTCTTTTGTTCTATTGCATGGATAACGCAATTTCTCGCGGTCCCTCGTGGTTGCAATGATACAGCATTGCCTCCATCTTGCAGTTGCTAGCACATAGACTTGCGCCAACACATGGAAATTTGTTTCGGGTTTTCAGTATCTTTTCCTGTTACCTCATTAAAACGACTATTACCCAAGTAAATATAATCATGAAGTTTGCATGTGTACATGTCCACATTTATACTTTGATTAAAAGTCCAATGAGGGTGTTTGTCCATCGTCTCTAAGCTGTTTAGGGACTCCAATTTAAAAATGAAAAACTATTAATTATCATTCTCAAACTGGAGCAGACCATCGGCGGTAATGTGTAAACATATATATACTTCAGAGCAGTGTTATGTCAACTTTGATAAAAGAATATTAAAAGGCCCATAGGTGCGTTTTTGTGCGTAACGAATGTGTTTGTGGTGCCGTATTGCAATGAGAGCCCATATTGAAAGTTAAAAAAATAATAATTATCATTCTCAGACTGGAGCAGATCGTAGCCGGTAATGTGTAAAATTATATATACTTCAAAGCAGTGTCAATGTCAACTTTGATAAAAGAATGTTAAAAAGCCCACAGGTTTGTTTTTGTGCGTAACGAATGTGTTTGTGGTGCCGTATTGCAATGAGAGCCCATATTGAAAGTTAAAAAATAATAATTATCATTCTCAGACTGGAGCAGATCGTAGCCGGTAATGTGTAAAATTATATATACTTCAAAGCAGTGTTAATGTCAACTTTGATAAAAGAATATTAAAAGGCCCACAGGTGCGTTTTTGTGCGTACGAATGCGTGTGTGGTGCCATATTGCAATGAGAGCCCATATTGAAAGTTAAAAAAAAAAAAATTTTCATTCTCAGACTGGAGCAGACCGTAGTCGGTAATGTTTAAAATTATATATACTTCAGAGCAGTGTTAATGTCAACTTTGATAAAATAATATTAAAAGGCCCCCAGGTGCGTTTTTGTGCGTCACGAATGCGTGTGTGTTGCCCTATTGCAACGAGAGCCCATATTGAAAGTTAAAAATATTAATTATCATTACATAATTCGGGCTCACATGAGCAAGTAACATAAACCTATACATATAGTACACAGCAGTGTAAATGCCACCTTTATCTAAACGGTACGTAAAAAATACCAGACCTAAAACGATGTCAGCGAGTTGAATAAATCGGAGAGGAATTGCGTCTTTTTAATTCAAGACACGATTGAAGGTTTCATTATTGCCGCGTCTCAGGCTAATTTCTCACATAGAGAGAAAAGTTTGACACTAGAAATATTTTCCAATCGGACCATAGCTGAAAACAAGTACACTACACTACAATTGTGCAATTTTGAATGCTCATTTTACGGCAACAAACAAGATTGCCTTTACCACATAGGGCATTTTGAATTCCTCCATGAACAAACATATCAAATTCTCACATAGTTTCCAAATTGACAGAACAAATTGTACTAATACTTAATCTCTATAAGTGTATTGTCCCATCCAACCGAAGGATTGACTCACGTTATCGCGAACTACCTGCCCAAATGACACAAAAAGTCATCGACAACTGCGATATGCTCGCTACCTGTACGGGAGGTCACGTGATCCGAATGCACATGGTTTCGCGAAGAGCTCACGTTAAGCCGATTATCCTTTGATGTAGCTCAGCGTTTCACGTCCTTCTCTTATTATGTCCATGTTGAAAGTTATCGCCTTTTGAAGTGAATAACCCATTGAAATATGGGCTGATTTATTAAAAGATGATAAAATCAAAAGTAAATAGTTTAAGACAATTCCCTGGTACCCCGCTGTAGTGCTTTCACCCAGCTTTATGAGGCCTTTTGAATCACTTGAATAGCTGTCTTGGTTATAGAGAAAATCACAATACCGAAAACGGCATTTTTCCCCTCAAATTGGCGCCAGAGCGTCATCCGTTGGCCACTGTACTTAATCCCCGTCTTTAATTGGCCTTTTGGGAAGTTTGTTTTAATTTTTTATAAAAACTTATAAGCCCAGGGCTTTGTTTCTATGACTTTGGTCCTTTTACTATTAGTGGCCTTAAGTAAGTTGCTCTGATGTCTGGTACACCTACTGAAGCTGTTAGGGAGTATAACTGTTGTTTAGCAGTTTCTGTAAGCATGCCAGACTTAATTCTAAGCGGCTCAATCTGAATGCAATTTAGCAAAAAAAAAAAAAAAAAAAAAAAAAAAACTCAAAAAGATGGGTTGATCCAGTTATATAGATTGATCTAGGTATGGGAATGGTGTCTTAGGCCCCATTCAGAATAGGGGACTAACTAGTCTGAGGATCAAATATGGGGACCCGCTACAAAGCTTGCTGTCTAATCCGCTAAGAGACACAGACTAGATATAGTGCGGGGAAGTATTCAAGTGGGTCAGTCATATTTGCTTCGGACCTATTGGGCCCCTATTCGGAATGAGGCCTAAAAGACACAAAACATGAGTTGTTGTATTTAACAGTCGACCCAATCTTGATGCAAGCCTCATGAAATACTCTAATGTCCTTCATTTTTCTAATACTTTGGTTGGAAACCTGCAGATAGACTGCAGGCATGAGGCCATTCCATTTTCACACCTGCAAACTTAAGCTTCAGTTCAAGAGGAAGGTGTACCATTTGATTAAGCTATTTTTGTATTGAGGAGGAAACACTTTCCTGTACCCTTACCCTTGGTGTGCATGCAGGTAAACCAACACATAATTTCTGTGAAAATTGAGTGCATTATTTATCAATAATTGAATATACTGTAATATATACAGTAAATTGATGCTATTTTCCATAACTAATTGATCAATGAGGTAGGAACTTACCACAATTTTTAATTTACTACTAGTTTTTCTAGGAAAATCTGATGGAAATAAAAGCCCTAACTATAAAAAGTTTAGGCGGTTTTTCTTTCATGTACGTCCACCATATTTAGTCCCCAGGATTTGTAAAGCCTGTCTCAACTCGTTGTGAATGCGATCATAGATAGACGGGTTGAGGTGACTGTGACTTTGTTATATATATATATATATATATATATATATATATATATATATATATATATATAAGGTTGTAGTTATCTTCTTATATATATATATATATATATATATATATATATATATATATAAGAACTATATATATATTAAACTAAACCTTGGAAATTTTAACTTAAAGGCCATACATTTATACCCTACACATATTTAGCCATCAAAATGTCCTACTGCTAATATAAACACATCCAGGCTAATTTCCCGCTGGGTGGGGTTGATATAACATTGTTTTCTGACATTGATACAACGTTGTTATCGGAGGTTTACACAACTTTCAAATCCAACGTTTATCCAATGTCTCTTCAACGTTATGGTTCAACGTTGTTTGAACGTTAAAACAACATAATTTGTCCGCTGGGCAAGTAAAGTGCACTTTTTAATATCATCATAAGCAACAGATATAAAAACATTAAAAGTTAATAACTGTAATAGCCCATTAAGGTTTATTCTCTGGACTCATCACCTGATAAACACATGATGGAATTATAAACAAAGGACAAGTTTTATCAGATCAGTGTCAAGGAGGGGCAGAAACCTTGCAGGCAAATTAAATATCATAATGCAGTCTGAGGAGAGACTGAGACTACTAGTAACTGGATCTCGACTAATTTTAATTTTGACCTAAATATGGGTTGTAAAACTATATATTGTACTTAAATTATTTCTCTAAAAACTCTAATTAAAATGCCCCTGATAAGTGCAAGGGGGGGGGGGCATGTACTAGTAACTCAAAGTAAAAGTCTGAGCTTTCTGCTAATGTTCCAAATATCTAAACTTACTTTAGGATTCGACAGAAAAATAACTAATTTTACATGTCCATGTACAAGCAATGACAGGGTAACAGCATTAAGGCACATTATCAAAATTAAGAGACACTGATGAGACACTTTTTGTATCAGTAAATGATCATGTAAGCAGGAGCAGTACAGTAGTTGCCATAGTGGGCTACATGGCCACTTGTACTAATAACCATATCAAATATAGTGCATGTAATCAATATGTGCATTGTACATTTCCATAAATATTTTTGACATCACCATCACCTGATCATCTGCTGCCACACTATAAAGAGTACGTGAGTTAGATAGCTTACATTTTACTGTTGAACTATTCACCGAGTGCTTACCTTGTGTTCTGATGTGACAATATGGCTGAGGCACTGGCAGCAGCTTTCGCAGATAAACTATTGACATGTAGCATTTGTTTAGGAGAATACGAGGACCCCCGTGTTCTGCCTTGCTACCATACATTTTGCTATGGTTGTATATGTGACCATGCTACACGGACTATTACTCCAAAAAGGACATTTTTTTGTCCCCTTTGTAGAGAGGAGATACAATTTCCAAGGGAAGGACTTGTGAAATTGAAAAAAGATTTCCGTATTCACACAACAAAAGAACTTCTCAGCCAGCAACAGCAGCATGAAGTACCATTAACAATTAAAGAAACTGATGTGCAAGGAGTGACACATGGTGTCTCACAAGTGGTGATCAAATGTGAGAAGCATCCTTCAAATGAACTGAAATACTATTGTGAAGATGATGATACTGTTGTATGTGGTGACTGTGTATCAACAGAACACTACAGACATGGTATTGTGCCAGTTGAAAAAGCTGCAAATACCAACAGAAAAAGGATAAAAACTGTCCTTGTGCAAACTTTGCCGAAACTGAACATGTTCAAAGAAGCAGTTGCAAAGGAAACAGCCACTGAAATAAAAGAATCGCAAATCATGGCAGCCTCCATCAACAAAATCAAAGAACAGGCTCAACGTATTCGAAGATTAGTTGATCAGAGGGAGCAGATAATGATATCAGAAGTATTTTCTGCATGTGATATCAGAAAAAAGCAGGTGGGGGCTAACAAGGACACCCTTGAACTTCACCATGCATCCTTGCACAGTGCGTGCAATTTTGCTCAGGAACTTCTCACAAATGGTTCTGCCTCTGACATCATGATTCACACTAAAGCTCTGACAGAGAGATTAACAGCCATGGAAAAAATGCCAGTGCCAACTCCAGACACACCAACACAGATTTCTTACAGCCCTGGTAATATATCTCATGCCAGACTGGACGCCATGTTAGGACAGGTGAAAATAAAGTCACAGCCTCCTAGACTTTCTAGCCTGGAAGAAAATCTACCAAATCCACCATCAGCACCACTTCTACCCTTTTTCTTATAGAAGGCAGGATGTATGCATTCCTTCAATCCTAAACTCCAATGTGATAAAAGTATGTCCGTAAGTGGGCTGGCCATAGATGAACAACATACCTATCTTGTAGATAACAGTAATAACAGAACAAAGGTATTCACACATGAAGGGCAATTCAGTTTACACATAAAGCTAAATGGTCCATTTGATGTGGCTGTTTCACAGAATGGTCAACTGTATATGACAACACTGGGTGACCAGTGTGTCCAAGTGTACTCCACCAGAGGTCAGCAAGTGATAACCATGGGTCAGGGTTTACTGGGACGTCCATGTGGTGTAACACTGAACAGACAAGGTCATGTGATGGTCTGTGACAAGGGAAAAAAAATCCATCTTCACATTCCATGCAGACAGTGGACAGCTCCTGAACACTTTTCCACTCAGTATGTGTAAACTCCCAATGTACATCACAGTGAACAGTGTGAATGAAAACATTGTGATATCAGACTGGGGCAATGACTGTGTACATGTGCTGTCACCTACTGGTGATCAGCTGTACCAGTATGGCAACACAGAAGGCAGTGGTGTTGGTCAGCTGAGGTTACCACGGGGAGTGTGCACAGACAGCTATGGTCACATCTTCATTGCTGACAATGGTAACCACAGGATAGTGGCACTGAGTCCACAAGGACAGTTTACCAGATACATTGCCACTGAGGAGGATGGGCTGAAGTATCCCAGAGCATTAGCCATCAACCCTGCTGGTCAGCTGGTGGTTGCAGAGGGCAGGGGTCAAGTTAAGACATTCCAGAATCTACAATAAGAAAACCAATGATTACAATATAATATGACAACACACAGACGCATATAGTAATGATCCCATTTTTGTCATGATATACTTGGAGGTTACCAGCCATTTACTGATACAAATTATACCAATTATTATAATGTACGTACAAGTGGGCAGCCAAGGGGCAACAACTGCTCCTGCTGATATGATCATTTATAATGATACAAAAAAAAAAAAAAAAGAATGTCTTTTAATTTTGAATACCTGTTTTAACAGTGTGTTACTCTGACATAATGTTATTCAATTTGTATGTGGATATTGCTTTGTATTGAATTCCTTGCAAAATTTAATTTTTGTTGGAATTTTTCATTACTCTTTTTAGAATTGAATAAAGTAAGTTTATATTTTTGAAAAATTAACAAATATAGTAGCTCTTTTGCTTTGAGCCAACAAGTTTTGAGTGTTGGATGAGATAAACTGCTTCCTGTTATAGTAGAAACATTCTGTCAAACTGACTTGTTTATATTTGTTCGACTTATTTATTGCAGAAAAACTTGAAAATTATATCATATTTTGTAAAAAAAAGCTCAACTAAAACAGCTTTCAACAATTAAACTTATATTTGTGAAAGAAAAATTTTATTGTAAAGGTTTGATAATGAATCTTATTTTCATTAAAACAAATTTTCAATACAAACTTTTAACAAATACAATAGAAATTTTAAAATGTTTATCAACATCAGGATAACAATGTGAAAGTCATATTTTTGGTCATACATGACAATTGTTGTGGCATGCATTCTTTAGTTCTGAAATACAAGGACACACCCAATCTGCAACTGGTACATTCTTTTCTTTTTCAGTCCTGTCGAAATATTTAAGTGTCACATGGTGGGCTGACAAACTGTCACTTGTGCAATTAGTAAGTTGATTAATATCACCAAATGTCACACATTTCTCGTCTTTCAATCTGTCTCTGGCCAGAGTACTAGACTCCACAGATGAACAGCTCTTTCCACCTTGAACATCAAGGCCAATATTTGACCTCTGACCTCTTTTGACTTCACCAATGTTTGACACCTGACCTTTGACCTCATCATAATTTAATCTTTGACAACGATTAGTACAGAGCAAGGCATCCTTTCGGGTACCGTTATGCAGTATCTGCATTTTTTGCCATGGAGGATGGAGCCTGATGAAGGTCTTCGGTTGAATGCTCAGTCTCTGAACAATTGGAATAGACAGGAGGACAAGAACCTCCTCCTCCTCTTCCTCTTCCTCCTTACAGGTTTGGCACTCAGCCAGATACAAAGAGCACTCCTTGGACATACTTTTCACAAAGAAATTGGCACATTTGGAAATATCTGGAATTGCAAATATGAATCCAAATTTAAACAGCATACTGGTTTAAAATATCTGAAATTAAATTGGCATCACATAAAAATTCATTCTGTTATGAAACACATATATGTGCCATGAAGACCAGTCAATTTGGAGCCAGCTTTTAAGCTCTGATCTAGTTGTACAGGAGTAAAAAGATAAATATATACTGGGTGCATGCAGCAGCTTGGTGAAGGGATGAAAACAAAGAACACTAGGAAAAGAGAACTATTCACTTCCACAGGATATGTGTTGTTTTTTTTAACATATAAAACAAAAACAAAACATTAAAAACAAAACAAAATACAACTCCCAATTCTTAATGAAGGAATCTTTTAAAACTTTAGTCATGAGACAGCCCTCCCTCTCCCTTTATATTTCCATCTCCCAGTATGCAAGGACAGATTAGGATGGCCATGTTTGTCTTTCAGATGATGTTAGAATTTAAAAAATCTTCTATTAAATAAACAGCAGGTATAAATTCAGTACTCAAAATTCTGAATTCATTTTGGAAGACTATAAGTCTGGACCTTTAGTCTAGTCCACGGATCAATCGGTTGTGAATGCTCCCTAAAACATTTCCCTCTATCCTATTCCTCATACTACCTTGTATTTGCCCAGCTGCTAGCTGGTGCTGCCAGAATCTTATTGCTGTTTTCTCTCTGGACTGTAGAGTACACAACTGCTGTGCAAGGCCACCTCTGGAACCAGAAACACATGCTGAGTGAAGGGATTTTAGAAAAACATGTTTCTCATGTTAATAGCAGCTAGCAATTAAAATGTTAATTGCTGGTAGCTATCAACTAAGATAGGGTATTATGATGAAAACAGTTTTTCAGGACTACAAGGTTACTGAGGCTGTTGTCAAATGACCTGGTCAAATAAATTCAAGTCCATCAAACATTTTAAAATTTGCACAAGATTTGAGTAATTAACAATATGACAAATGTACAATTCTATTTCTTAAAATGTGAACATTAACTTTTAAAAAGCTCAGAAGTGAATTCAAATTAATTTATCATTTTACTTGGTAAATTTCTGTTTCTTTTTCGCCGAGTCCTCAGGAATGACCTCTTGGGCAGGTGACCCTTGACTGGACTTCTGGGGTGTTTTGAGGGTCTTGGCCCACTCACTGCCCCTCATCCCTGCTCCCTCTGGACCACGATCAGACGTCTGTGTGGAGAGAATTGAGGTACCACTGCTGATGTCAACAGATTCACTTTCCTGAAATATAAACAAAAATCATCTTTATACATTTGTTTTTTGTTCATTAAATAATTGTTGACTAATGACTTCTTTTCAAATATTGTGGCACATCCACGTATTTTTTTAAGAAAATGTAATTTTTTGCAGAAAATACAATTAAATTTTTCCTTGGTACAGTAGTTATTGTGTTAAACAGATTTTTTATATTGGCTGGAAAAAAAAAATATATATAGATATACATATATATATATATATATACATATACTGCCTAACTTGTAGTTAGTTTAGTGTGTGAGCCCATTAAGAATAGGAGATCCAGATCAAATATGAGGGACCCTTCATGAAAGAAGGGCTGACTAATATGCTGATGATCTCCCTGCCTCCACTCTTGCCATTAAATGGATTGAATCATGGCTCCGAGGTTTAATTTCTAGACACCCCCCCAAGAACAGTGCGTGTGAAGGAGGGGAGACCATCAGCGTATTAGGCTTCATTCACATGGAATGTCTATTTTCTAAAAATCTATTTTCTATTCGCGCTATCTTATGATCACGGTCTGTGCCCTGAATATCCCGTCGCGTAATTACTGGCAGCGCGAGCCAGTTACTTATAGTAACTTATAGTAACTGGCTCGCGCTGCCAGTAATTACGCCGTAATTACGCCAATAGAAAATAGAATTTAGAAAATAGACATTGCATGTGAATGAAGCCTAAGTCAGTGGATAAGAAGGTCCTCGGATCTTCTATTCTACATGGGATCTATGTTTAATACTTAGTTTTATCAAACTGTATTCAAACCTGCTGCTGTGATAGGCTGGTGTGATTTTCTTCTATATCGGATATATCAGGGTCTTCATCCATTACAAGTGGCTCCTGAATCTCATTCTCATTCAGGTTTAAAGACTGTGCTCCTGACAAAGAGCTCCAGCTGGATATGCTGCCCTGAGTTGACTGAAGAGCAGAACAAGGCAGCAAAGCTGTCAAATGTACAGAGTAGACTATTGAGCAGAAAAATCAATACCACTGATACATTGTAGGAGGCATTAAAAATAATTGTTAGTAGTGATAAAACATAAAATAAAAGTGNGCAACCTGAATCTTGCGTCAGCTGATCGTGCATAAATGGCTGACTGATATTCGTTCCCCGTACTAAGCTGTCTGGTGCCCGTTATTTGTGTAGGCTTGGACGTTGCGTTAACTTTGTTCCCGCATATTAATTTGTTTCCGTAAGCTGCGTAGGTTTGTACCTGTCTACGTTATACCTGCTAACTGCGCAGGATTGACCCTTTCTATGTCAAACATTGTGTAAATGGGATAGGGAACGAGTCAGATATACAACTGTAAATGCGCCGGGACAATTTTGATTGACAACTTTCTTGAAATTCAAAAGGAGGCCCCGTTACAAATTCTAGCTAGTCACGTGAGTGCGTCCTTAGTTTCAGAGTGAGTACTTACGTCTAGCTTACTTGCGTTGTGGAAAATGGTTAAATAAATGACGGCTTGTGCTAGGTGCCAGGAAATGAATTTTATTATAGGTAACAGTTCTTCGGGAAAGCGACCTTTAATAGCGGTTTCCCGAGAAGTTATTGCATTTACCGGGCATTTTCAACGATTTACCGGACGGGAAAGTAAGACTTCACATAGATTTCCCGAGCCCGCAATAGCTTTCCCTCGGGAAAGCGGGAAAGCAACATTTCGACCCCTGCAAAACAATATTTGATGATTTTATACATTATGTATTTTTACAATTATTGTTTCCTTTACCAAGCATCTGCTTATCTTGTACAGTAAACAGTTATATCTTACTGTAAGCTGGAAGTCCGTTTTGACAAATTCCTTTGGTTGCTTATGAGGCTGCTTGTTTGGAGTTTGAAATGAAAAAGTTGGTGAACAATCACGGCTGTCATCACTTGATGCCCAATCTATTTTCCCTTCCATCACTTCTAGATCTGAAGCACAAGATTTCTTTTAATCCCCTTATCTGCCTCAATTAACACACACACACAGAGAGAGAGAGAGAGAGAGAGAGAGAGAGAGAGAGAGAGAGTTTCCATAACATTGTCATGAAAATAAATCTTTCTGTCAATTTTAATGATACTCAGTACATACCAACTTACCTTCCAAATCACTCAATGCTTCGATGTCCTTTTCTTTTGCCAGATTCCCATGTGAAGATATACTGAGTGTCTGAAAAGACTTTCGCCTAAAACCAAATTTTGAACAATAAATAAATGTGTGAAATTGAACATCACAAAAAGAAAGTCAGGTATTCTGGTGGACTTCTGTGTAAAACAAAATTTTTTTTTTTAGATTTATAACAAAAATAGATGTACAGAAAAAAGCCCTATCAAATAAGTACCTTCTCTTGTCTGTTATGTCTTGAACAAATCCATCAAATCCATCCATTCGTCGTTGCCAGTCACTTGTTTCTTCCTGTTCTTGATGCCATTTTCTCTTCTTGGCAAATGTGCATTTCTTACAGGAAAGCTTTACTGGAGATTCATATTCTATTACTAAGTTACTGTTGTCATCCATGGAGTATCTGAAAAGGGGTAAACAATGATCTTTTTTTTTTTTTTACATAAGAATATACTGGTACTTAACTAATATATAAGGATTTTAAAAAACCTCTTATGAAACAAGTTGTATATAGGGAAGCTATTGGTGAAAATTTTCCATGAAAAGGGAATTTTTAATACCGCTTTTACTTTAAACACATTTTAATTCCAACTTTCACTCATCAAAAATTAATAATAATAATAATAATAATAATAAACAAATCAATCTAAACTACATCCAAAATGTTTTGGTTGCAACAGTAAATAATGTGCCTATTTGAATGTACCTGTGTTTTGCTTCACAACAAATAGAGTTAAATCTACAGACAGGTACATTAGTCTACAGCGCTGTGATTTTCGCCCTCGATTGTATTTCAATACAGTAAAATCAGTTTGAGATTTAGAATTTACAGAAGGAGCACTATGAACAATTCCAACGGAAAATGAGTTGAACAATTACTTAACAGATGTCTTGATTTGTTCAGCGTAATTTGTGTTTCGCTTTCTACAGGCCAAGCTTTTGTTTTGCCTCTTATCCCGCTTAATGCTTTCCCTACCTTTAAATTAAAAAGAGCGTTGAATGATAAACTCAAACATAATCAATGAAAAGATTATGTTAACCAAAAATACGCTTTAAGCATAGGTTTCAAAGAAATACAGAGAACATAAGTTATTATGAGGTAAGTTACCACTGACAAAGAAAACAGAAATATTGCATTTTGTTACTAAAAAAAAAAAACTGGGTTATGAGATTACACGTGTAAGTGCTCACGGACGATTGTCGTAAAAGCGGCATTTCGTGCATGCTGAATTTGACAAGATATTAGGGTAGTTATTAAAACATTGGTTTATGCAAGTGACAAGCGTAAAGCTAACGTAATGGAAACCTCCAGTGGAAGTTCGTCCTTCAACACGACCGAGGCCAGCCAGCTTTTGAAGGACATATTGCAAGGAAACACAGGTAAATTTGTGAGCAAATACTGGCATTGGTAATATTAAGTTGAACAAGCAAATTAGTGTTAATACGCTAAGAAGTTATAACGTAATATGTTAGGCATGCGATTTATTGAAGCGATTTTGCAAGACCTGATATGATGTAAATAGTAAAAAAACTGCTTATTGTAATACAGTATGCCCCCCACTTTTTGAAATACCAATCGTTTTCCATTCATCTCATAAAGCATTAGGTGTCAAAGTAAAAATATGATTGACAATTTTTATGCATTTATTCNGATATAAAAGATACAGATTCTCTGTTTTCAACTTATCAAAGTAGCAGAGAGAATTCTTTTAGTGTGGAGTTTCCTATTCCTTTTTTTTTTTTAATTAGTTTTATTATCTTAATATTTGCTTGCTAGAATTTTGTTTCAAATATATTTACTGGAAGGTACAAAAGGCTGCCAAATTTGGGAAAGTATTCCAGTTGATTTAAAAATTTTAGCCATAAACAATGATGAATACCAAAACAATATTTGATGATTTTATACATTATGTATTTTTACAATTATTGTTTCCTTTACCAAGCATCTGCTAATCTTGTACAGTAAACAGTTATATCTTACTGTAAGCTGGAAGTCCGTTTTGACAAATTCCTTTGGTTGCTTATGCGGCTGCTTGTTTGGAGTTTGAATTGAGAAAGTTGGTGAACAATCACGGCTGTCATCACTTGATGCCCAATCTATTTTCCCTTCCATCACTTCTAGATCTGAAGCACAAGATTTCTTTTAATCCCCTTATCTGCCTCAATTAACACAGAGAGAGAGAGAGAGAGAGAGAGAGAGAGAGAGAGAGAGAGAGAGAGAGAGAGAGAGAGAGTTTCCATAACATTGTCATGAAAATAAATCTTTCTGTCAATTTTAATGATACTCAGTACATACCAACTTACCTTCCAAATCACTCAATGCTTCGATGTCCTTTTCTTTGGCCAGATTCCCATGTGAAGATATACTGAGTGTCTGAAAAGACTTTCGCCTAAAACCAAATTTTGAACAAAAAATAAATGTGTGAAATTGAACATCACAAAAAGAAAGTCAGGTATTCTGGTGGATTTTTGTGTAAAACAAATTTTTTTTTTAAGTTTAACAAAAATAGATGTACAGAAAAAAGCCCTATCAAATAAGTACCTTCTCTTGTCTGTTATGTCTTGAACAAATCCATCAAATCCATCCATTCGTCGTTGCCAGTCACTTGTTTCTTCCTGTTCTTGATGCCATTTTCTCTTCTTGGCAAATGTGCATTTCTTACTGGAAAGCTTTACTGGAGATTCATATTCTATTACTAAGTTACTGTTGTCATCCATGGAGTATCTGAAAAGGGGTAAACAATGATCTTTTTTTTTTACATAAGAATATACTGGTACTTAACTAATATATATAAGGATTTTAAAAAACCTCTTATGAAACAAGTTGTATATAGGGAAGCTATTGGTGAAAATTTTCCATGAAAAGGGAATTTTTAATACTGCTTTTACTTTAAACACATTTTAATTCCAACTTTCACTCATCAAAAATTAATAATAATAATAATAATAATAATAAACAAATCAATCTAAACTACATCCAAAATGTTTTGGTTGCCACAGTAAATAATGTGCCTTTTTGAATGTACCTGTGTTTTGCTTCACAACAAATAGAGTTAAATCTACAGACAGGTACATTAGTCTACATGTACGTCTACATGTAAGTTTTGACCAGTTTGAGTTTGTAAAGCGCTGTGATTTTCGCCCTCGATTGTATTTCAATACAGTAAAATCAGTTTGAGATTTAGAATTTACAGAAAGAGCACTATGAACAATTCCAACGGAAAATGAGTTGAACAATTACTTAACAGATGTCTTGATTTGTTCAGCGTAATTTGTGTTTCGCTTTCTACAGGCCAATTTGTTTTGCCTCTTATCCCGCTAAATGCTTTCCCTACCTTTAAATTAAAAAGAGCGTTGAATGATAAACTCAAACATAATCAATGAAAAGATTATGTTAACCAAAAATTCGCTTTAAGCATAGGTTTCAAAGAAATACAGAGAACATAAGTTATTATGAGGTAAGTTTCCACTGGCAAAGAAAACAGAAATATTGCCTTCGGTTACTAAAACAAAAACTGGGTTATGAGATTACACGTGTAAGTGCTCACGGACGATTGTCGTAAAAGCGGCATTTCGTGCATGCTGAATTTGACAAGATATTAGGGTAGTTATTAAAACATTGGTTTATGCAAGTGACAAGAATAAAGCTAACGTAATGGAAACCTCCAGTGGAAGTTCGTCCTTCAACACGACCGAGGCCAGCCAGCTTTTGAAGGACATATTGCAAGGAAACACAGGTAAATGTGTGAGCAAATACTGGCATTGGTAATATTAAGTTGAACAAGCAAATTAATGTTAATACGCTAAGAAGTTATAACGTAATATGTTAGGCATGCGATTTATTGAAGCGATTTTGCAAGACCTGATATGATGTAAATAGTAAAAAAAACTGCTTATTGTAATACAGTATGCCCCCCACTTTTTGAAATGCCAATCGTTTCCCATTCATCTCATAAAGCATTATATGTCAAAGTAAAAATATGATTGACAATTTTTTATGCATTTTTTCATTTTTTTCACCAAGGTGTTTCCAGCATATCAAGTTCTGTCACTGATGGAGATTTTGCCAGGTCTGCAAGGTAATTCTTTAATATAACCAAGTATCCAGGAATGCTTAATATGTCTGGGGAATTTTACGCTAAAATGGTCAGATATGTTAATTCTCTTTACTTTTTCTGCATTTTTCATTCATATGTTATTATAGGGATATCAGTGGAGAGTCAGGTGCCAGTTTTGCAGATGCGGTGAAGGCACACCTGCCAAAACAGCAGATGTAAGTATAAGACTGGGTTCCCATATCTAGATCAATCTAACAGGACCGATCCATCTCCAAGGGCTTTCTCGCTTAATTGTTTTAGATGTTTGGCACGCCTAATTAAGCTGCCAAACAATAATTTATTACTCCCTAGCAGCTTCAGTAAGCTGCTTAAGTTGATTGGATTTTCGCGAGAATCCCCTTGGAGATAGATCAATCCACAGCTAGTATGATAGGGTGTGGGAATGGTCCCTAAAACTAAACAAGAAAATGTCATGACCACCCATTGAAAATTACATTTGAGTTAATAAAGACTTTCTGCGGCATAATTTACGTACGAAAATTGATAAAACTACAATTTTTAAGATGACTCATTGAAATGTTGAACTTATTAATTTTTGAATTCTCTTTTCCTCAGAATTTTACAAGGAAATGACAGTGCCAATAGTTTTAGTGTATATGGGAGAGATGTTAGTATCATTGCCAGTCAGGCCAGTGGTGCCGCTGAGAGAGTTCCAGCCAGTAATAAGGTACAAACTTATAAATTAAAAAAAAAGAATAAAGTAATTTTTCTTCAATCAACAGCTTAAAGGGATATCAAATGTTCATATGAGATCTTTATTTCACAACAAATACATTGTAATTGAATTCTCTTTTAAAAACCAAAACAGCAGTTATCACAATTGTTCTGAAATCTGTTCTTGCTATCGGACCAGAATTAAGTAAACATGTTTAATAATGAGAGTGCAAAAAGTTGTAATGTCATCAATGGCATGTGAAAACAACAACCCTTTTCTTGCAGTACTGGTAATTTTTAGACCAAACAGTGATAAATTTCACAGAAAAATACAAAGTAAGTTTTTATAATTACTGCCATCCTGAGGTTCTGTAACTGTAGTTATAATATTTATTCTCTTTTGAAGGTGAAAATCACCCCAATGGTAAATTTTGAATGGGAGCCCAAATACTACATTGGGAACTTGGTTGCTATACACAGGGATGGGATACACATGTCATATGTTCTGACAGGTGAGAAAACCATGTGGTGTACAGTATATCATGGATAAAGGCTTTCCCACTATCAATGGCTAGAATAGCATCCTGAGTGTCACTGTTCAATATGATGACCAATATTAGTTGTTACAGTAAAGCTTTCTTATTACTGCCTTTCATTGTTGTTGCTTCAGGTGCATGGAAAGTTTGCAGATGAGTTTCGTGTTATTTATCAAGGAAAGAGAGAACTTTGTATATTTTTACTTGCTTTTAAAATGTACTTGTATGAAGTGTTATAAAACTGAATGCCAGTGAAACTTTTGTTTATGAAGAAACTCATCATGCAACATAAAACAACTGTATATTTTTTAAACTACTGATTCACCATTTTTAAAATTAATTAACTAAATTATTTAAAAAATACATAATTTGAAAAAAAAAAAAAAAAGTCTTAATTGCAAGTAAGTTTTCGAAAAATAAAATGTCCTATTTTTCAAATTATTTTTACATGATTGTCTACATGTCTCTTCAGGGACAGGTTTGTAAACTTTTATAATCAGTAGAATCTAGATGTATTGTTAAGCTTTTAGGTTAGGTTTAATTTATATATTAACCACTATGGTCAAGGAAATCAGAAATCTGGGATAGTAAAAGAGATTTGTGATGATGATTATGTCAAGGAAAATAATAGTCGTACCTAAGTCTTCTTGTGCTTCTCAGAATTCCAGTTTTTGCATGCTGAACTTGCTATGTAATGCTTATTAGAGAGTTTCCGTTGCCGGTGAGATTAATACGTCGCCGGCTAGATTAATACGTCATCGGTTTGTGCGCACTTGTGACGTTCACCGCATTCATATTCTGTCATCCCATCTAGTCTGCGGAATACAAGCGCTCCTATCTAGCCAGTGTGGAAGATTATTGAAAATAGTTATTAAAGGTTATGTTTGCTAATTTATATGACTTATATACTTTTTTACAATAGTTCAAGTGTACGTTCATGCAAATTTCGACTTTTTAACAGAGAGGAGCCACTAGTTTTGGTTTATCAGGCACGTAGTCGAGGGTTGATCGTGGGGTTCTTACGAACCACCATTTTTGTCAGGAAAAATTGCACTTTTGGGTAATATTTGTCTCCTTTTTCATTAAAAAGAATCCCCCCCCTTGGATATAGATGGCTACAGGGCCGTATATTGTTATTATTATATTGGAATGAGCACCAGCATTCCGGGACATTACTGGAACGCGAAGAGAGAAGCGCGTTACTGGATACATAAGCACATACGTAACAATCTAGCCGTCGTATCCCAACTGCACCGGAAACTCTCTATTGTCTGGTAATGGTACAGGTAAATTCTCTTGCAAGAAAGAACAAGCACTTGCACATTGAACGTTAATGGTTTTGCCAAAATTTTGAGAAGCATGCAAGTGTAGTGAGAACAAGATACAGGATACACCTAACATGGCTCACATCTTAGATAATATATGTTGCAATATGCCTCTTAGGGAGTGTTCCCATAACCCTATCATACTAGCTGGATTGATCTAACTCTTTGGTGATTCTTTCTAAATCACATTCACTCTAAGTTCTTAAATGTCTGGCACATCCCCCTTGAAACTTAAAGTAATTGAGTCAAGTCGGGAAAACTTTGTGGTCCATGGTGTTAATTGATCATGCTGCGTTGCAAGGGGGCATGCCAGACAATAATTTATTAAGCTGATTAAGTTGACTGCGCCTTAGTGAGAATCCCCACTGAGATTGATTGATCTTGCTAGTACCATAAGGTTTTGGGAACACAGTATTAAAAACATAAGTGGATGGGGGATCTGAATGTAGTCTGCTTGCTAATGCTATCATATCTGACTGCTATCGGCTTGCTAACATTAGGAATATCTGCTTTCATCAAAAATCGACTATGACTGAGGAAAATTGACTAAGGACAGAGAAAATCTAATATCCCTTTTTTCTTCCAAAAGCCTGTTTGTCTCTTTTCTTTCTTTCACTCTTATAAAGAGTTGAGACTAGGTTAAATTTCTCTGCAACATACTTTTTTCCTGGACATGAAGAGGCGCAAGATGAGGGGAAATGTTAAGGAAAGAGACCCTGTAAGAATTAAAAATGAGGGTGATGGGAATGCTTAAAGAACCTTGAAGCTGGGACTTAGAGCGCATTCAGAACAGATGATCCATGGACTAACTGTTCCGCAGACTAAATATGGCCGACCCCACTTAAAAGCAAGCCACTGAATTTCCTGATGGTCTCCCTACCTCCACACACACACACCATCGAACAGGTTAAATCTTTGCTCGGAGGTTTAACTGCTGTGCCCCTGCAGCGATGGCACATGTGGAGGCAGGGAGACCATCAGGGGATCAGGGGCATTGCTTTTAAGTTGGTCGGCCATATTTAGTCTGCAGATCTGTTAGTCTGCAAATCAGCTTGTTGTGAATGCACTCTTAAATTCATATCATACCAAGGTTATATTTCATTTTATATATATAGGTATATCATATCATCATTATGTTATGATTTTATAAAGACATAAAATAAGGAGCATGAGATATTGTGCATTTTAGTCCCTTGTTTTTTATCAACACTGTTTTCTTATCCAAGGACATTTTAAAATATTTTACGATGTGAAAGTTTTTGAGGTCTTTAGTTCATGGCCATGTCAATATTCAATCTTCATCTGATTAAAAATGGTTTGGTTTAAATATTATAACATATCAAAGAATTTAAAAACCTCGACATTTCACCTTCCAGGCAAATCTGGTGGCTGTGTTCGGGTGATCAACAGAAAGACTGCAGAACGAGCACTTTTAAAGGGTTTTACCGGACGTGTGATGGACGTAGCATTCGCACATCACACACTCGTGATCATTGCGGCAGTAGACGAGATGGGTAATTTGTTTGTCCACCAGGCTGATGACACAGATGATGGTAAAATACTGTATCCTTTGGTTTCTTCGATCTTGAAAGTGAGGTGCTAGTCAGTTCTGATATTTACTGTTTTGCTATTTTCTAAAATCAAATGCAGTTTTTTTCTAAGAAAAAAAGGTTTTCTGTGATGTCATTTGTCACCAAGCATGCCTGAGATTTTGTGATTTAAAAAACTTTGCATTGTTTTACTCTTCCAGGGATTTTGTAAGAAGGTGGGTGTGGAGTTGAATCTTAGTTAAAGTTCATTTTTTAATTGGAGATTTTCTAGACAAAAAATGTCAAGACATTCACATGGATTTTTTTCTCTTTTGACTGAAAGCACTTTTTAAATTGTTTTTGTTGGAAATAATATGTATTGTGGGTTTTTGTGATGAATTCATTCTCAAGAGGACAATGTATTTATTATTAGTTATAACTTAAATTTAGAATCCTTGTGAACCTTAACTCTTGCCCAGCACTGCCTGTCTCCTGCATGTGGTGCGTCCTGCAGAGACGCCACCTAGTAGCTACCACAGAGTCATCTGGTGTCCATACATCCCTGATGAGGAGGAGGAACAGGGCACTGAGGACATGCCAACCCATGACGCAGGCAAACTGCTGGTGGTGACCCATGATGAGAAGGTATGACATAGCAGTATTCAGCATTTTTATGGATACTAGTATTATGTGGATTGGATATAAACCATCAAAAATAACATCAGTAAACTAACTCTCTCTCTCTCTCTCTCTCTCTCTCTCTCTGTCATTTTAATATATATATATATAGTCATTTATTTATTTTTAATATTTCAGTTAGTTTTAATTTTGAAATATTTTTCCTGTGTTATTTGTTCAGGCTGAGTTATGGAGTGTAGACATGGTCAATGGAGAGTATGGTACTGGACCACACAGGGCTGAGGACATAGATATAGGCTTTCTGGCCATTGAGAACCACACTCGGGTAATACATGAAGATTTTGACAGCATCAAGTTCTTAGCAGTTTATTTGCCAGTTTGCGAGTTAAGAAGCAGTTAAAATATATATATTGTAGATATCACATTTTATGATAAAGAGTTTTTTAGATTAAAAAAACAAACAACAGTTACTTCTTCCCAACTCCTTAGGGTTACATGTCTTATGCCACTGTTTTATAATACATGTAATAACATATAATGTTAAAGATTAAGGTAAGAGCCTTATTGACTGTATTTCTAGCCCATAGTGGATGCTGCATTTTCCCCGGATGGCACTGCCCTGGCCACTGCCAGTCTTGATGGACAGGTCAAGTTCTTTCAAGTTTACATGCAAGACAAGGCAACACCAAGGTATAGGGTTTAAAATACTGTGATGTTTTTGTCGTGTTCATGTCATAATATGGTGATGTGTTAGTTTTCTTTGCCAATGTGTCTACACCTATCTACAGAGGTGGTGTAAAAATTAGCAACTTCAAGTCAGAATTTTGATATTTTTTTCATCTTGCAATTGCCTCAGGTGCCTACATGAGTGGAAACCACATGATGGGCTGCCTCTGTCTAGTTTGTTCTTCTTGGATGACCACAAGAACCCCAAACCAGAGTAAGTTTTCTAAAAATTCAGGACATCAGAATAAAACAACAGGTTACAATGGATTCAGTTCTGTTAGATCACAAGACTGGTTCTGAAAATATACAAAAGCCCCTTGTGAGCAATATTTTGAAGATATTGACGGTTGATATAGACAGTCAGTTTGGGTCTTCTCAAAGATTGTTTTCTTATAATGATACACATTTTTATGAGTACTATGAAATTATGCATTCTAAAGTTTCTATAAAAGACTTTTGACTTGTATCAAGGACTAAAATGTCAGATTTTCCATTCTTTATATGTGACCTTGTCGTTTTGCTTGTAAGCAAATTTCATTAAATGCTTCTTCATTTAATGATAATAACCCATGCTTTAAGTAATCACATCTTGTATTGGTGAGTTTAACGGTTGTGTAAATATTTTTCTTCTTTTGACAGGGTGCAGTTTTGGAAGTTTGCACTGACTGGAGCAAATGACAACCGAGAACTGAAAATCTGGAGCTGTGAGTCCTGGACCTGTCTGCAGACACTAAGGTAACTTTGGACTCTAATTTACAGAATAAATAATAATAATGTATTAAATAAAAATGTGTTATTCAATGCTTTTTATTCTGGTCTTTTGACCATTTTTATAGAACACAGTAAAAATTAACTTTAATGGAATTTATTATCGCCATTTTCACAAAGATGGTACATGGACATGTTATATATTTTATAAAACAGAATCAGTGAAAGTGCTTATATCTTGTGGCCACATTAACCAATGTAAAGAATTCTAACACTTACAAAAGAAGTCTAATACTTACATGAATATTTCATTTACACAAAACTAAATTTTTGCAGTAACTATGATATTCAAAAAGTGTAAGGGATAGTCTCTTAGAACAGAAACATTAGTCAGGACTAAAAATTCTGTGAGATGCTTGTAACTTATGAGTGGTCACCATACTATACAATGCAAAGGGCCAGTATAATATGATTGTGATGATATAAAATTAACCTTTTGGTTCTCAGATTTGTGTCCCCACCAGACCTGCCCTCCAACTTCCAAGTGGAGCCATCTTTGAAGGCATGTCTGGATCTCAGTGCTAACTACATGGTACTGGCAGATACCAAAAGAAAGGTATCAACATCTCTCTCTCTCTCTCTCTCTCTCTCTCTCTCTCTCTCTCAGCTCTGTCTCTGAGTTTCTGCTTCTTTCTTCAGGTAGTTCTCCAGCTGTACCAAGATGCAGAGCACAGTACGGCCCATGTCAGTTCTGTCTCCAAGTTTCTGCTTCTTTCTTCAGGTATTGAATGTTCTCCAGCTGTACCAAGATGCAGAGCATGGTACGGCTCATGTCAGCTCTGTCTCTGAGTTTCTGCTCACCCAGCCTTGCCTCAGTATGGCCATACTAGAGGCTGGCAGCAAGGTGGTGAAGAAGTCTAGCACACAAGAACAAAGTGGAGAAATGAACTCTGGTAAGTGGACAGGTTCAAAATTGTCCTCAGTTTTCTTTCTTGAGAAAATAATTATCTACTTCAGGCTAATTTTTAAAAATTTCGTTTGTGTATTTATTTGTTTGCATTTTTTTTCAAAATTTAGTCAGAGATTTTGCATATTTTTTGAAAAATGCTAACAAAAGGGACAGTGGCAAATATTTTTAATCCAGGAAGAGAAGCCTCCTAGGGCACACATCTCAAAATTTTGTCATTTTAATTGCCCTTTAAGATAAATCCTGCCTATTGTTCCAGGTAATCTAGATGAGGATGAGGATGACGAGGATCAAGAGGCCAGAGATGAGGATGGCATCAAGGGATGTCTAGTGAGATTATATACAGTGCAACACAGGTAGAGTAGTATAATAAAGGCCAGGGATGAACTATCGGCAGATTTCCAACTCTTTGAGAGCCCAAAGTATCAGTGGCCTGGGTGGACTCCTGGACCCCACACCATATTTCCTGATTTTTTCACTAAATGTCAGTGTCTATCCTGGAAGATACATCAGCATATATTTTCTTATCACTCTGTCATTGTATTGTTTACATTATTTGTTAGGTCATAACTTATTGTGGATGTTGTTTTAGTACCGAATAACCATCTTTTTTGGTATATGAGATTTTTTTTTTCACTTTTTGAATGATTTCCTCCTTTAGTTACTGAAAATGAATGTTTGAACTGCCCTAAAATTGTCTGTAGGTAAAAAAAAAATTGTTTTGTTGTTTAGAAACAGCATGCCATGGGAGATATTTATTTGTATTCTTTTTATTAAAATTTTAAGTTTCCACTTCATTTTCTCCCCCATATTTACTTTTAAAAATTATTTCATAACCATTATATCTATAATAAACAATTTTGTATTTACATTTGTTTTGAGAAATAACATTGTTTTGTAATAGGTTACTTATGGAATATAATTACTGAAAAAGAAAGAGTTGTTTATTTTCATTACGAAGGGTAATGTATTTTTCCAGGGCTTTACAAGAACTACAAATTCACTTTGAGTTGCAGACGTCTGTGCCCAACCTTCCAGCGCCATCTATTAGCTCAATTTCCCAGGATGGGACAGGTAAGACAGTAACTTTACAATTTTAAAGAAAAAGTACAGTAACCATAAATTGCATGATTATTTGCATTGCTTGATTAGCCACTAGATTCTGTATTTTTGACTAGAATATGTAGAATGTATATTTTATATTATGAATGTCATAGCTTGATGACCTTAAAAATACTAAACATATTTTAAGTTCATGGCTTGACCCATATTGTTGGTATATACTTCCAAATAATGTAGCATGCAGATTAGCCATTTGGTTAAAAAATTTTTTGAACATGTAAAGTGAACCTTGAATAAAAATCTTAGTTTAATTTATTGGATCTCAGGTATTTCTTGCCTATATTGTTGGCATTTTTGCTATTAACTTATACGCTTCTTTTTAAAGATTTTTTTTTATATTTAAATATGTGTTTGTGTCTCATGCAAAGTTATATGAGCTTTATTACCTACAATTGCACCTTTTGTCTTCACTTCGTTCCCAGCCTTGCGTGATGCTCTCACAGACATAAGTATGGATACTGTGACATCATTATCAGATGTGGAGTATAAAGCCAAAGATGCTGCTGGCAACAACTCCCAGCCTTTGCTTCTCACACCCGATGCCTTCACATCTAGTCCTAGGTAAGAGAGCAAAATACTACAGTAACTACTACTACTACTAGTCTAGTCCTCTGTAAGAAAGCAAAATATTACTACTTCTACTACTACTACATCTAGTCTTCGGTAAGAAAGAAAAATACCACTACTACTACTTATAATAATAATATATTAAAATGTTCAGGTTTAAAAAATAATTTTTATTATTATTATTATTATTATTATTATAATTTTTTTTTTTTTTGCCTTTTTCATTTTCCCCAACAGTTGTCTTTTTGTGGCATCATTGCTTTTAAGAGTTTTTAAGAGTCTGTAAGGCATTTTAAGTTGTTTTAGGACAGGAGATAGGAATAGAAGTGGTAACACATTTTCTAGTAGAAAAGGAGTAGGGGTGGAGATCTTTGATTGATCCATACGTGGGCATACAAGTTCAGTGATCTCTTAGAGAGAATTTTTGTCCAAGTGCAACATACTATAGACATGAGCAAAAATGATTATTAGCTTGGTAGTTGGATCACAAATGAAAAATTATCAAATACAAGCATAAAAACTTTCATACCATTAGCTTACGGCCAACCTTGATGTAGGCCTTCATCAGACTATAGACGTGTATTATAATGTCATGTCTGCTCCTTACAGGAAATCCAGTGAGAGCCTTCACAGTAGTAACACCAGCAGCAGTTTTACACACGTGTCAGCCCTTAACGAGGAACACGGGGCCTCAGTTATGTCCCCCTCCAGCAGTGTGACATTGACTCCAAATTCCAGTCATGTCCCCACCCCTACGACCCTCCCTCTCCCTCCTGTCACCCCAGGGGAAGAGAACCGCCTGACCACCACCCCCAAACACACCCCCCAGCATACGCCAAAGCTTAACTTGAGTGCAGCTGAACAAGACCTGGATGACTTCCTGGGTTCACCTACATCAACATCCTCGTCTATCAAAGGAAACCAACCGCCATCTTTTCAAAATGGCGGCATCAAGGTTGGCGATAGAGGTGGAGGTCAGGGCGACATGCTGGACGAACTATTTGGGAGTCAGGGCACTAAGAGGCAACACCTACAGAGCAGCAGCTCAAGTACGACCAGCATTGAGGTTGGCCAGATCATGGATGCCAAGCCAAGTTATGTGGTTGGAGAGACGGCACAGGAGGAGGAAGAAGAGGAAGAGGAGGAGGAGGGAGAAGAAGAGGAGGAAGAGGAAGAACAACATAGTTATGGGATGAGGGTGTGGCCACAGGCTCCTAAAGTGACAGATGAGGGTCAAGAAAAGGGGTAGGTTATATGTTGAGGGTGGGGAATACTTTGTCTTTTCCAAAAAAAAAAAAGAGTAATTTTGGTTTATACTTGTTTGTCATGTCCACATATTTGTATTTTTGTTTTAATGATAATAATAATCATTGCTATTTTATTGAAATTTACGAACAAAATGTTAATACATTTTACAATATTACATGTAAAATGAAGAAGTTTTTGTCATCCTGTTTAAAATATTTTGAATACAGTGAATATTATTATTAAGTTGTTGGTTAATTCATGAAAGAATATAATGGCTGTAGCAAATAAATTTGCACCTTTTGGTAGTTCAGGGAAGGGATAAGGGTAAAGATGACTTTCGGGGATACGTCTAATTTTATTGGGTTACACATTGGGTTGGTCATTTTATGGAAAATTCTTGAACCATATGTTTGTGCCAAATAGAGATTTTGTGATAATATTGCTACCATATGCAGTCCTTTCACAGAAAATTCATGAATCTTATGGCTGCACTAGATGGGGATTTTGTGATGATTTTTCTCCCAATGATGTAATGAACACAGTTCAGTATACATTCTAGTGATGGAACTGAAGACCAAGATGAAGATGTGAAGATAGAAGAAGAGACTGAAGAGCATACTGGCAGGACAGATTCCAGCAGGTGACTCAAAAATAGTTTAGAAATGAAGCCAGAAAATTAAAAGAGATTTTTACTTTTTCGATCTCTTTACTCATTAGTTATTGAAAAGGAGGATAATATCTTAGTCAGAAGTTGCAACTGTTGAATTTAATATATTTATTAATATTATTTTGAACATATAGCTGAAAATCTGTGACATATTAAAAATGGTAAAAATGTGTTGTAAAGTTTGCATTTATTTTGCAAATATGATTGTAGCATTTAGAAACAATGCGAGGATTTGACTACTTTTTGTTGCAAAATTAAGGAACAGTGTATGAAACAGCACACAGGTTTGGGTCATGTCTTATACTCTTGAATAACCTATTTTTTAAACATATTAAATACAGCGAACGTGAAGAAATATCATCCTCATCAGAAAGTCCCAAGAAGAAATCTCACAGACATCCCAGCACCAGACAACGGACATCCAGTTACTCTCCCACTAGTGCAAGGTCTCTGGAGGCTGGCTCTATACCTCAGGTACCTATGAATTTAGGTGTCACTGCACCCTTTAAAAGAAGAGAGCATGATTCTCTCTACCTCCCTCTACCTCTCTCAGTGTAGTGAATGCATATTTTTATAGACTAATCTGAGGGAGATTTATTCCTCATTTTTAAACCCCAACAAACATCAAACTGTATGATTACCCACATGAATTTATGACAACTTGAAAAAAGGATGTAGTTGTTTTAACTGCAGTAATTGCTGAATGTTATCTCTCACCTGTTTCCCCATTGTAGCTTCAAGATACCATGCAGAACATCATGAGTCTGTTACAAGACCAGAGACAGGAGCTGGCCAGTCTTAAGGCACAGCTTCACCAGCAGAGGGAGCACAATGCACTGATGGAGGGGGTGCTTGGAAACCGCCTGGAGACCGCACTGGAACAGTATGGTCACTCACAGGGTAGGGTTGCTCACCTTGTTTCACAAATGTATTTGTAACAGGGGTGAGATTTGTCTGACTATTGACGGATTTTTTACTTTTTTGGGAGCCAAAAATATCATTGTCCTAGACATCCCCCTGGAACCCACACCATGTTTTGTGACTTTTTCACCAAGTGGCATTCTCATCCCTGTTTAGATTGAACATTGGCCTTGTCTTCAAGAATGAAAATTTCAGTCAAATCCATCAGTAGGAGTCCCTTAAATGGGAATTTTGGACTTGTTTTAAGAAGTTACACATCATATGGGTAATGTTTTAGACTTATAGTCATGTATGTTTATATATAGTGGCCTACTGCATATCATTTCTAGATTGAATTGGATCTGGATTGAAAGTTGAAATTAACCAAGTAGCCTGTAGATTTTGTATGTGACTGTGTGCATGCATGCTCATGTCTGTGTATATGCGTTGGACTAATGTCCGTGTCACTCATTAAATTATTTGTTAACCTATGGTTTTATTTCAGATTTGAGATTAAGGGAGGCATTAAGTAGCACTCACTCCGCCAGACAACATGACAGCCACCAGGTGGTCAACACATTGTCCGAGGCTCTGGTCAATAAGGTTATTGCCAGTCTGGACACAGCAGTCAAGACAGAGATCAAAAATTCTGTAGTGCCAAGTAAGTGGGACCACCGTAATGGCAAGGCTCGGCTCTGCTTGTCACATAAGATAATATCCGTGTGAGTTTGCAAGAAAGAATTGCAGATTGCAGCAATATTGCAGCAAATTTGCTGCAAGTTCACTGCAAATTTGCTGCAGGTCTGACATTTTGCTAAGGGATGAACTGGAAAAATTAAATATATTTGCGGAATTTCAAAAATGTAAATTTCGAATAGGAATATTGCCTGATTTAGTTCATGAATTTCAATTTTAACATCTGTAACAACTTTGAAAAGAAATTTTATGAAAAATTTCTATTGTATTGTAGTAGTACTCAGTTCTCTGCCGAGTCTTGTTAAATTAATTTTAATGTATTCTTTTTTTATTTTATTAAAAATCTTTTCCGGAGCCTAGTGATTGACAACTTAATATGTCAACTCACTGACACGGGGGAGAAGTGTTTTTTGTATACAATTTAGCTGTGACAAGCACAAAGTTGAATTATGTTTACTCAATGTGAACATTTCCAGCTATCCAAAGAATGATTCACCCATTACAAGAGCACCTTCACAGGGAGATGGCTCAGAAACTCACTGCAACAGACTCTGTGATGAAAGATAATATTGGCAAGATGGTCAGGTCAAAGGTAAGGTTAAAGATCACTGGGTAAATGGTAAGGCAAAAGGTCTTTTACCAAATGGTAGGATCAAAGGAAATTGGGAAGGGGGAAAAGGTTCTGGGGTTGAGATTCTGAGAAAGAGTTTTGTAACTGATAAAACAGTTTTAACTACATTTGATGTCACGCTGTGTGCATGTTTAATTTATAAAGAATATCCTTTCCAAAAAAAAAAAAATTGAAGCAAGCCAGTTAGTGTTAGTAAGAGCACATCTGAACGTAACATTATCTAACACCCCATTTCCATAGATTAGATCGACCTACTTTAGATCGACCTAACCCCCTGGGGGTTCACGCTAAATAGCTGTCAGCCGGGCGGACACAAAAGTTAATTACCCCCTTACTGCTTGTAGTAGGCGGGACGGACATTTAAGTCGGATTATCTGAAATAATCTAGTGAGACTCCCCGCGGGGATAGATAGATCTAAAATCTATGGGAATAGAGCCTAAGTGCGTGAAAGGCTTTACTTATTATCCATCTGTATATTGCATATATATTTTTCATTAATGCGTTTGTATTATCAAACATTTAACAAATAAATACATGTCACAGTATGTAAAAATGAAAAAAAAAATTTGAATGAATTCCCACCACTTAAAATTCCCATTTTAAATAATGACATATATTATATGATATTTATATTTCAGCAAACGGTAGAAGCTATAGGGCAGGCAGCAGGACAGGCAGTGTCAGGCACAGTGATCTCAGCATATAGGGAAACGTTTCAGAACACCATATTGCCAGGGTTTGAACGTTCTTGTCAGCACATGACAGGACAGTTGAATGAAGCTTTTCATAAAGGAACGCAAGAATGTAAGACACGGATATCCACCTGCCTTAAAGATTATGTTTAATTGCTCAAAATCATATTTCAGATTTTTAAATTAAATATTTTTGTTGGTGTTTTCACACTCAGTACTATTATAATGGAGATGTTTATATACATGCTGTGATGTTTGATGTAGTTCTGTCTTTGTCTGTGATGAATTCTATTTCATAAAATTGATAAGTTAACAAATTGCTTTTCTTATACTTATACAATGTGTCAGACAGTAGACGAAATAAATTTGATTTATTTAATAAATTAACTTTTTACTTATTGAAATTATAATATAAGTTCATGCCATCATTTATTTCACACAGATGTCCAGCAGCTTCAGTCCCACATGGACTCGGTCAACCAGCGTCAAAACGAGACCAAGGACTACGTCCGCGGTCAGATTCAGGCGGCCATGGAACAGTTCAAGTCCAGTACCCAGAGTGTCCAGCAGAGACTGGTGACCAGTGTCCAGACTGAGGTGAACAAGCACCTGCAGCAGACTATGTCAGGGTCAGTATTGGAATAGTGTGTTCAGGATTGAAAGTGTATCATTTTTTTTATGGTCCAGAATTCTGGGATATATGTCAATAGCTATAAAGTCTTACCTTTAACTCACCTTGAAGTTTTTTGTTTGTATGTTATCATTTATTAGTACCACCAGTGCGTACGCTGGCGGTACTCATGGTTTTAGTCCCGACCCGTCTCGTACAGCTCCGCCGGCTCCTGCGGCTCCGCAGGATGACGTGGGATACGAGTCACCGTTACCGCTTCTCCTCCTNAGATATCCACCTACCTTAAAGATTATGTTTAATTGCTCAAAATCATATTTCAGATTTTTAAATTAAATATTTTTGTTGGTGTTTTCACACTCAGTACTATTATAATGGAGATGTTTATATACATATAGTGATGTTTGATGTAGTTCTGTCTTTGTCTGTGATGAATTCTATTTCATAAAATTGATAAGTTAACAAATTGCTTTTCTTATACTTATACAATGTGTCAGACAGTAGAAGAAATAAATTTGATTTATTTAATAAATTAACTTTTTACTTATTGAAATTATAATATAAGTTCATGCCATCATTTATTTCACACAGATGTCCAGCAGCTTCAGTCCCAGATGGACTCGGTCAATCAGCGCCAAAATGAGACAAAGGACTACGTCCGCAGTCAGCTCCAGGCGGCCATGGAACAGTTCAAGTCCAGTACCCAGAGTGTCCAGCAGAGACTGGTGACCAGTGTCCAGACTGAGGTGAACAAGCACCTGCAGCAGACTATGTCAGGGTCAGTATTGGAATAGTGTGGTCAGGGTTGAAAGTGTATCATTTTTTTTATGGTCCAGAATTCTGGGATACATGTCAATAGCTATAAAGTCTTACCTTTAATTCACCTTGAAGTTTTTTTTGTTTATATGTTATCATTTATTTTTCATTTTTTGTAAATTGTTGAGTAGTTAGAGTGAAAATCTATTATGATAAGTATTTTAGTCTGCTATATAAAGGAATTGGACTATTTTCATGTGTTATGTGTCATGTGGCAATGTGTTAATAAATTTCTTAATGTATTTGTTAAAATTTTAATAATGTTTAGTTATATAATAATCTTTTATGATTACTAATTGCTGGAGAGCTTTCCCTTTTGGTATGGCTACATACTTTTTATCAGAAGAACTTGTTAGCAGTTAAATCAATATAGTATAGGCATTTATATATATATATATATATATATATATATATGATTTTAATGGGTTGATTTTAATTCTTTTCAAATTAAAATTTAAAATAATTTCTTTCAATAATTTATCAAATTTTATTTAATTTACTTTATTTTTATTTTTTGTTACAGTTTGGAGGAGGCCATGATCACACGCCTCAAATCAACTATCCGAGATGAGGTCTCAGACGCCTTACGTGATCAACAAGAGCGATTAAATGAGAGCATCGCACAAGCCATGCGCTCTACAGCAGCTACCCCTGTGCCTGGTTTTGTGGACCCTCAGCAACAGCAAGCAGCAATTCACCACTTACTGAAGCAGGGGCAGTTAAATAATGCTTTTCAGCAGGTAAGTGTCATATATATATATATATATATATATATATATATATATATATATATATATTGTTTTATTATGTCATTCTGTACTTTAAACAGGTTTTAGCAATGGAATCTGCATTAGCAGCTAGAATACCAATGTTATGTGGTTATATTTTGGCATGACATCAATATCTCTGCTGCCCTACCTGTTTGGTTTCCCTGACCTAAAGTGACTGCTACCGACTTTAAATTTTTTAATTTCTTTCTATTAATGACAAATGTGTATGCCTGCACTAGCTTTGAATCACAGCAATTTAGCTCATTTTTCTTTGGAAAAAAACTTTTCTCTCTCTCTCACTAAAATGTAAGTGCAGCACATGCTCACAAATGGAAAATCCTGTATTAGTTAGGCAAGAAAACATTAACAAGTATTTTTTCATTATGTTGTATAAATTATAATATTTCAGGCCTTATCAGCATCTGATCTGAGTCTTGTGATGTATGTCTGTGAGACGGTGAACCCGTCACAGGTCTTCAACCAGACGCCATGTCCACTCCAGCAGCCAGTCCTCCTCTCTCTCATACAGCAGCTGTCTGCAGACTTGGGCAATAACACAGAACTCAAACACAAGTAAGTATATACTATACTTTCTGCAGACCTGGGCAATAATGCAGAACTCAAACACAAGCAAGTATATACTAACAAAGTCTAACTGCAAAACTGAAACATTTTATAGCAACTGCTAGATGAGACCCAGGTTTAATTTATATATTGATTTTTTTTTCAAATATGTTAGTGGAATTAAACAAAGGCATTGCATTTTGAAATCTAATGATATCATGTCTGTTTAAGTAGATATATAAGTAGAAAGTTTACTGTTAGTTCCAATTTAAGCCACTGCAGTTGAGCAAAATCAGGGTCTGTGATCAAATAAACTCAATTTATATTTGTATCAGAAGCAATATCTGTTATTAAGTTGTATAAGGTTTCAAATAAAACAAATTAAAACCAATAAATTATTGATTGTTTCAGATACTTAGAAGAGGCAGTGATGAACCTGGAGCCTACTAATTCTCTGACCAGGGAACATATGCCAGCAGTCCTGAACAATCTGGTGCAAAAACTCCTTGAATATATAAATGCGAACCCCACAGATAGGATGACTCGGCAACTTAGAATGTTGTTAATGGCCTCACAGTCTTTACTGAAATGAACAGTTCAGGACCGTACTTGATTTATATTTTGTATTTTTGTTTTATATTAAGTTGAGTGGCAGTAGTTTTATTTTTATGAAACAATCAAAGATTTGATTATTATAACTTGTCATTGCCAAGGACACTAAAGTTTCTAGTGGTTAAGAACTTAACAGCAGTATGTGAGTCATAAAAACTGGAATAGGCACAGAATTTGATACCTGGCTTCATCTACTTTCAACAGTATTAGAAACTGGTTGTAGTAGCTCATATGTTAAACTCATTTGTATCACTACATCCATTTTATAGGCATGAAAGGATTTCACCTTGATATTCATTGCCAAGATCCTTCTGTGTATCAGTGGAAATATGGATTATGGCTATATTTTATACAGTCGAGAGCCCATTTAAACCAGTGGAAATGAGAACTGGTTATCATTTTATATATTTTTTAAATGCTACCATTGCAAATGGATGGAAGTTTATGAAAACTGCTTTATTAAAACAACAAAAACAACAGGATTATTACTTTGTATTTCAAAACATGATAAATTAATTGCAGTTGTTTGCAGAAAGTTATTCATCAATCAGTTTTTTGAGGTGAAATTCCATTCCTTGCGTATCTTTTGTTTTCCATTCTTGCTTTATAATATGGCAAATACCTACTATACCCTCCAAAAATCTTCGTGAAATCCATAGAATATTGAAAGAATATGGCACAAAAGACTTTAACAAAACTCTTAATATTTGGTATTTTTTCTATCAAGCTTGAGTATTTTTCAGTGCCACATTGCATATGTACAGTGTTTTATATACTCCTGACTGTACATTGATATAAACGCGATAGCACCACTAAAACCCAGTGAACAAAATGTAAATCTTAGTTTTTTTATTGTATTAAATAAGGTAAAGTAAATTTGTTGTGCGTTTCCATTTATTTTGCTCACTGTTCAGGATACTTTTAAACCAAGCATCTCTTGCATACTAGAAAAAAAATCAATGTATTCACTTAAAAAGTGTGATGACAGTGATAATAATTAAAATGACAATGAAAGGCCTTTTTTAATATGTTTTGGGCATCTTTCAAGTTTTCATCTTGACAAAATACAGTCGCAGAAAAAATATCCTAAGGTCATACAATGCACTGTGACTCTACATTTTACAGAAGTAGGTCTATCTGTACTAGTCTAAATTAGTAATAACAAGGAGTTTCAACAGTTGAAACTCCTTGGTAATAAAGTAATCAAAGAAAAACAATTCAGTGCTAGACAAACCGTACAACTAACCTAGGCTCTATTCCCATAGATTTTAGATCGATTTATCCCCGCGGGGAGTCTCACTAGATTACTTTCAGGTAATCCGACTTAAATGTCCGTCCCGCCTACTACAAGCTGTAAGGGGGTAATTAACTTTCGTGTCCGCCCGGCTGACAGCTATTTAGCGTGAACCCCCAGGGAGTTAGGTCGATCTAAAGTAGGTCGATCTAATCTACGGAAATGGGGTGTTAGTCTTCTTGTCTGTAGTTGAAGCATTTCTTATCAAAGTCACATTTATTAGTTCTGGAACAATGCATGCTCGAAATTCTGTAGAGACACTGCAGATGCGCAACCCCTCCCCCCATCCTCTCAAGAAACGAAACTGATTAGTGTGACAAGTGCCGTGATAGTTGCTAGAGCACCCCCAACGGGGCTCCTGTCATGCGCATTTTCGTTTCCGAACAGTCTGAAAGTGGGTCACGAATGCAGGTCACACTAACTCCACAGGCGATGTAAAACCAATGTAGGTACTTGGTGACAATCTATTCAAGACAGGAAACGGAATGCAGGTAGTTCTAAGGAGAATTTACTGTTGTCCTCGCCCATCATATTTTCCTTGTTTTTATTTATTTATTTTGGAAGGGGGGTGCGCTGATGGCGTCTCTAAGTCAAATCTTTTTTATTCTGTCAGAGGGTCTAGACTATTGCAGTGCAAAAACAGTCAGGAGTTGGTCTTAACGTTAAGACCTAAAAATCTGATCTATCGCTGTCGGTACGTGTTTATTCCCAGTATGCTTTATATAGCGTTATGGTGACGTTTTAGTACACTGCTATAAAATTTCATATTAGGCCTATAGATCTTCAAGTAATAGCCTACATGTACACCTAAGCAGGCCTAACTTAGTTTCTTTAAAAAATTCCGTTTCATTGTCATCGTCACTTTTATGCATAGGCCCGACATGTGACAATAAATTATTATTAAAGCACTCTCCTGTCAAAAGACAATAGGTCGCGCCGTGGTTTATTTCGTGTAAGGCCCCTATTTCACACAGACCACGAATCCCACGAATAGCCAGGAATTGACAAATTTCAGGATTCGTGAGGATTCGTGAGATTTTGCCAATTTTCTGGTCTAATTCGACACGCTCACGATTCAGTTACGATACAGGTACGATAGTGTTACGAATATTCGTGGGATTCGGCTGGAATCGTGAGATATTGCCAATTTTCTGCTCTAATTCGACACGCTCTACGATTCAGTTACGATACAGGTGCGATAGCGTTACGAATATTCATGGGATTCGGCTGGAATCGCACGAATATTGTCCAGAAATTCACTACGATTTTTTGGAATCGGGAGTTCGTGGCCAGAACTTTGAACAGCTCAAAATTTTTGCCACGAATTCCCGATTGATCAAGAATTGCAAGAACTGACTACGATTATACACGAATCTGTTAAGAACTTCACGACCTGATTACGATTCAACCCCGAATCCTGAAAATTTCAATTCCTGGCGATTCGTGGGATTCGTGGTCTGTGTGAAATAGGGGCATCAAAGTTTTTGCCACCAATTCCTGTTGGTCAAGAAGTGCAAGAACTGACTACGAATATATACGAATCTGTTAAGAACTTCACGAACTGATTACGATTCAACCACGAATCGTGAGATTTGTCAATTCATGGCCATTCGTGGGATTCGTGGTCTGTGTGAAATAGGGGCATAAGTCACGTCATCCACGAATGCGTTCCACGCACCAATGCACAGGCTTCGCCTCGCCAATTATTTGCTCTATTTCTCGTAAAGCTCAGCGCCTCGTACTTTATCTATACCTTATACATATATTATTATTAAATCTAAGGAGCATAATTCTTGTGATTTATATCTGAATAGAAAGATTGCGTCTTTAACAAACATCGTAGGCAAAATAGAGACTGCTTTCTACACTTGAACGTCGAAATAAACAGCACTTCCTAATTACTAGTTCCTTTACTAAATGAAAATAATAAAAATTTAACCAAGGAAGTGCAATGCTGATATCTACTTCCTTGATTTAACTACCCTCAGCCTACCGTCAGCGCCGCAAGCTTGTTGGGGATCTATTTTGTTGCCCGATTCAAAGACGAAATTTTAGTCCGTCCTGGGTTTGAATTCATTTTGTGAAACCAGTCTCTGTTTTATTCCTTTCCCGAGGGGCTAGACATATATTTTGTCTAGATTGAGTTGTTAACATGTAAGCCTACGTGCTTCCAATATTCGAGTGACCATCTGACCATCTTATCAGCAAAATGACACCATTGTTTTATTCGCGTGTCGCCTGACAACTAACCAAGCATGGGTATGTCAAATGTGTTTTTAATAAGCAATACACAAGCCAACGAGAAACAATTGAATTGGCCAATTTTACAAAAGATCGTTAAACCGACGTCTATTTCAACTTTTTGATGAAAATTATACGTCTATGTTTTGACCCAAGATGAATGCCTGTGTTATTACAAGAAACAAATGTCTCCTGCTTTAGACCATTAAATACTTTATTATAGTTGACTGCCATGTCTTTATCCAGACCCCAAGTAGACTAAAAATACAACGACCAAAGTATCTTTTGCTTAACCGACAGATGCTTACGTGTATTACTGCAAATCTTTAGACAACATTGCCATTTATTTATCCACGAAGTTCTGCCTGAATGACAAAAGGGAAGGTTATTTTGTGACATTCATATGAATACGCGTTTATTTACAGTCTAAAAAGACGGAAGGTTTGCTGCGGTGTGAGATAATTGATAGCTGAAAGCCGGCAACAACATGGATCTTTTGGGCGTATTACTTTGGCTGTGCTTACCTGCAAGATGGATGGCAGGTGAGATCAACGTGTTCGTGTGGGGGAACTCGACTGAGGAGAATTTCACCAGCTGTGTTATGTTATAAGAATAAAGTAGTTTTTTTTTCTTTTTCTTTTTTTGTCTAACAGGATATCTTCACCAGGGAATGAGGCTACCATATGGAGATACACTATTTCAATATTGAGCTGCTGACTGAAGAAAAATTACTTTATTCTTTGGGGGCAGTCGTGTTTATAATATACGAGACAAATTCAGTTTTTCTACACCTGTGCTCAACATGCATGTATTTATAGTAAAGCAGTCTGTTTTATGTTTCCACGCGTATCGAGGTAAATTTGGCATAGCAGAAATACAGGATCCGCCTCTGTGTGTGTGTGTGTGTGTGTGTGTGTGTGTGTGTGTGTGTGTGTGCGTGCGTGCGTGTGTGTGTGTGTGCGTGTGTGTGTGTGTGTGTGAGAGAGAGAGAGAGAGAGAGCAGGCGAGGAATTTGGGGTGGGGTAAAATAAGTGCTCATTCATATTGAAACTGTCGGCCTACGTATATCGATTCAACTCCCCGGGGACTCTTGCTGAATGCAATTAGTTTGACAGAGAAACACGGCTCCTCCTGGCGTTGAGTGGACCACAGATAAGCTGGTGATTATACGAGTACGTTGGGAACAAGACAAATCTAATTTTTATGCCTGTGCTCTGCATGTATCGTTCTACGTAGACCGTTTGTTTTAATGGGAATGCCAGGGGCGGATTTAGGCCGTCTTCTGGGTCTTTCGGAAGACGGTCAGATTTTTAAGTTTACATTGACGGGTATCTAAGGTTTTCTGTCGGAAGACGGTCAAAAATGGAGGATGGATTAACAAAGATAATTTGGAAGACTGTCAGAAAATATCTCTGGATTCGCCCCTGAATGCGACATATAAAATGCCACAGTGTTCGGCTTAACAAGTCACACAGGTTAGACCTCATGCATGAAACAGCCAGTGTTTGAAACTTTCGAGGATATGTGTAACAAATGGCGTGCATAAGTGGTAGCACCACTTCTGGATAGTTGAAAAATTGACTAAACAGCGTGCTCAAACTGGTGCGTAGAAAATAAATTAGATTGAAAACACATCTATTAAGATTAACTTGGTATAAAGCGTCTGAGCTTTTGGGTTGTGCGCCTTGTTCGGGAACTGAAAAATAAACTACAAGGATACGTGATGTTATTTGTTTATTCTTTTTAGTCCCTGATGAAGGCACACTAGCCGAAAGCCTGGGAGCTGTATACAAATCAGGCCTACCGTTGATCTTAAGAGAGTTTTCAATTTAATTTTTTCTATTTCTTACATGTACACATACGGAAAAATTAGTATTATTACGAGTATAAGGAAAAACGCGGCTTTTGAATCCATAACCCTGCCTATTACAGTGCTTTCCTCAGGTGCAGTGACCATGACGAGAAAGGTGACATTGGTCCAGAGGAGTCTGCAGAACATAGTCGGGTCATCCCCAAAAATTGAAGTAAAAAGTTTTGAGAACTGGGCCGAGTCACTTAAAGAGGACGTTGTATTCACGGCCAGCCCAAAGTCGGTGAGAGAGGTAATGCCCAGCGGTTAAATTTATGGAACGAAATCTGCACATGTGTGTTGTTAATATAATCAATTAAATGTATAATTTTTAAAAATATTTTGCACATATATATGTAGTTAAACGTCCGATGTTCATAATATAAATTTCATTCGTCTTCTTATCCATTATTTAATTAACTCGTCATTATTTATTGATTGATTTATTTATTTATTTATTTATTTATTTATTTATTTATTTATTTATTAGCTCACACAAGTAACCTCAAGAATCCTTATGTCCTAACTTTTACATACAGATCCAGAGGATCGTGTTTGCTGCTCTCCTCTGCAGAAAGAATGTCCGAGTTGTGGGTAGCACTCACTCTTGGTCTTCTCTGTTCACCGACTCGGAACAAATTCAGATAAATTTGGGCAACATGACATTAGAGGGAGGAAAGAGAGTGATCCTCCAGCCCGGGGTAAGATGTATTAAAGAATAATGACAGAAATGGCCTCTAATTTACATTGTATTGTATTGTATTGTATTGTATTGTATTGTATTGTATTGTATTGTAATCCTTATTAAGTATGAGAATTCCATAATATTGCATTTTTCTGTGTTTGGGAATTTTTTCCAGGAATATCCAGGATATAGGACGGTAAGAATCGCGCCAGGTGTGACAGTGGGTGAACTGAACGACTTGATTGTACCTCTAGGTTTTACCTTGCGTTCAGGGCCTAGCATTAAGGAGGCAACTGTTTTGGGTGCCATAGCAACATCATCTCATGTGAGTAAATTATTCGACCAATGAGCGCCTTGAGAAGTCTTTCTGTTCTTGACATCATATTTTCTGCGCAATTTATAAAAACGCATTTGCTATAACGATCCATTATTCCATTAAGCGTAGGTTCAAATATTTTGGTTTCCTCTCCTCACAGTCGAAGGTGGTTGATTAAATTCACCAATTTGTATATTTGATTCGATTAATTATATCAATTTAAGGCCGGAACAAAAATCCATAAATGGTTAACGAGCGCGACCAACCCTCATTTTGTGTCACTTAGACTTTTCGCACCTTTTCTTTTTTTCTTGTTTTAATGGGACAAATTGACAATTGACATTACCATCCCCTACAAATAGTTTTATAGGGAAAAAATACCAACCGTCTCTAAAATTTAGGTTGCCTAACTACGCTCCCGATTGTTTGATCGTTTTTGAAGTGTTGGTGAGTGCAGCATTTAATCGGTATAAATAAGGTGGTTTAGCATCATATGTTTAAAAAAACGAAATCGAAAAAAAATCCGTGTACTTATCTTGTCAACAGAAAGTCAGTTGTCGTTTACCATTGATTAAATTTTGTCTGGCCTTATCTCACAAAATACCGATGTGGGAGAGATATTGGTGTTTTAAAGAATGATGTTATGTAAGTCATATCATTTTTACAAAAATGTAACTGCTGATTATTTTTAAGGGTGCAATGGTCAATGAACCAGCAATAGGTGGATACATGACAGGAGCAAGGTTCGTGGATGGATGGGGCAAGATACTGGCTTTCAATGAGGATACGGACCCCGAAGTTTTAAAAGCACTGCGCTGTAACTTGGGACTTCTCGGAGTGGTCTTTGAATTTGAATTAAAAGTGAGTTGCTTTAGCGGTCTTTTTTTTTTATGAACATACACCACAACATATTAAACATCTACTATATGTTAAAATAAGAGTGAATTCAGAACAGATAATCTGCGGACTAACTGATCCGCCGACTAAATATGGCCATCTCCACTTAAACGCAAGCCGCCCTTTACTCTGATGGTCTCCCCGCCTCCACACGCGCCATTAAACCGATTAAATCTCGGCTCCGGGAAGACCATCAGGGAATTAGCGGCATCCCTTTAATGCAGATCGGCCATATTTAGTCCGCGGATCTGTTAGTCCGCGGATGAACTTGTTCTGAATGCGGTCTAATTTTGTATCATCCGAGATAGCCCGAAATCTATTGCTTTTGAGACTTATATACAGCGCATACAGACCAAATATCTGTGGCAGAGCTATTTTTTGTACCTGCATTTCACACTTCTACCAGTCTGTACTACACTTACAGTAATTCTTTGTCCCAAGCTCATATTCATCTTAGCCCCTACGAAGACCCCTCTGATCCGGAATTTCAGAGAAGTGCTATCTCCTTTATTTCAGATTTTCCCGCAGGAACAAGTTAACTCGTGCGGTATCCTTACCCCATTGAAGACGCTTTTCAATCCGGAATTTCTGAGAAATGCTGTTTCCAAGAACAATTTTGTCTTAATTCTGTCGGCATCCTATAGTTCACTAACGGAGAAAGAAGCAAGGTCAGTGTTGGAGACGGGGAAGGTTCCGACCACGTGGGATAGCGGCAATGACATAGTTTTAATTAAGTAAGTGTGCTTTATATCCAACTATACTGTATTTACACTTCTGTATACTTACATATATATATATAAAGTAAGAAAAAGAACTGGTTGCAAAATGCGTACTGACGCTTTCCTATGGTTGCAAAATGCGTACTGACGCTTTCCTTTGGTTGCAAAATGCGTACTGACGTTTTCCTTTGGTTGCAAATGCGAAATGCGGCTCTACACATCTTATTTTTATACCAATAAGAAAACCTCCTCCCTGAATGAAGTAAAACCAAGTTTTTTAATACGCAAAACTACAATTAGTCAAGACTTGAATGGAACCTGAATATCAAGAAAGATGGACCCCAAATTTTGCCCCCAACTCCTCCCCACTCCCACTCCCTTGGAGTCAAAAAATAAGGGTGTATTCCCAGAGATTTAGATCGATCCAGGGATTAAGATTTAGATCGACCTAACTCCCTGGGGGTTCATGCTAAATTGCAGTCAGCCGAGCGCGCACCATAGTTAATTACCCCCTTACAGCTTTCAGTAGGCGGGACAGACGCTTAAGCCGGCTAAGCTGATAGTAATCTAGTGAGACTCCCCACAGGGATAGATCGATCTAAAATCTATGGAAATGGGGTCTAAGAAAAGATGCAACAAAATCTGGATCCCCGACGAGGACAGAGAAACAAAACTGTACTTTTTGGTGCCCTTGTCGGTTTAAAATCCCCTTATTTATCAAGAAGAACTAAACATGTTTAAATACAGACGTGGACACCGAACAACACGGATTACACCAGTAAATATATGGAGAAATTGAAAACCCATACACGTGAGAAAAATGGATTACATAAATTGGTATAATGGAAGAGATGGTGACGACGACGTCGACGATGATGATGATGATGATGAATATATGGTTAAATATTTTGGTTGTAATTCAGTATTGTAGATCCAGACGCCACGCCTGATAGTCTGAATACCTCTGATGATCCACTGCCGGAGGACGTGACGGTCGTTTCGACGGGACAGGTATACCACCAGCGGTATTATGTCTTGTTGTTGTTTGTCACATTATTTGCAGCCTTTTTATGTGGAGGCACAGTACAACCCCCCCCCTTCCCCCC